CCGCCTCCAAGCGGCCTGCACAGCACTGACATGCCTGCAGCAGCGTCTCGCCAGACTTCGATGCAGCCGGCGCATCCTTCTGCCCGACCCCGCCTGAAGCGGCCTGCACAGCACTGCAACGTTTTGCCAGACTTCGATAGAGCCAGCGACTCACCTCAGTCCGGCCCGGCCTGTAAGCGACTTCACAGCGCTGCCATGCCTGCAGCAGCGTCTCGCCAGACTTCGATGCAGCTGGTGCCTCCTTCTGCCCAACCCCGCCTGAAGCGGCCTGCACAGCACTGACATACCTGCAGCAGCGTCTTGCCAGACTTCGATGCAGCTGGTGTCTCCTTCTGCCCAACCCTGCCTGAAGAGGCCTGCACAGCACTGACATGCCTGCAGCAGCGTCTCGCCAGACTTCGATGCAGCCGGCGCCTTCTGCCCGACCCCGCCTGAAGCGGCCTGCACAGCACTGCAACGTTTTGCCAGACTTCGATACAGCCAGCGACTCACCTCAGTACGGCCCGGCCTGTAAGCAACTTCACAGCGCTGCCATGCCTGCAGCAGCGTCTCGCCTGACTTCGATGCAGCTGGTGCCTCCTTCTGCCCAACCCCGCCTGAAGCGGCCTGCACAGCACTGACATACCTGCAGCAGCGTCTTGCCAGACTTCGATGCAGCTGGTGTCTCCTTCTGCCCAACCCCGCCTGAAGAGGCCTGCACAGCACTGACATGCCTGCACAGCACTGACATGCCTGCAGCAGCGTCTCGCCAGACTTCGATGCAGCCGGCGCCTTCTGCCCGACCCCGCCTGAAGCGGCCTGCACAGCACTGCAACGTTTTTCAAGACTTTGATACAGCCAGCGACTCACCTCCGCCCGCGGCCTCGCCCGTAAGCGACTTCACAGCGCTGCCACCAGCCTGTAGCAACGTTTCGCCAGACTTCGATACAGCCTCGCCTCCAACAACTCCGTACAACTCCTCCCGGCCTCGCCTGTAAGCGTCTCAGCCTGTACAGGGGCCTCCGCGCAGCTAAACGTCGCGGCTACACAGCGCTGCTGCCGGCTTGTTGAAGGCATCTCCACTTCGCCTGGTCGGAGGACCGCAGCAGCCATCTGCGCAGCATCGCAGTCTACAGGCTGACCGCAATACTGGATATATGGGTACGGCGTCTCCATTCGCCTGATTGGAGGATTGAGGGCGTCTCCACTTCGCCTGGTCGGAGGACTGCGGGCGTCTCCGCAACGCTGCCTTAATCTGTAGAGGCGTCTCCGCTTCGCCTGGTTGAAGGACTGCGGGCGTCTCCGCAGCGCTACCGTCAGCCTGTAGAGGCGTCTCCGCTTCGCCTGGTTGAAGAACTGCGGGCTCTCCGCAGCGCTACCGTCAGCCTGTAGAGGCGTCTCCGCTTCGCCTGGTCGGAGGACTGCGGGCGTCTCCGCAGCGCTGCCGTAGCCTGTAGAGGCGTCTCCGCTTCGCCTGGTCGGAGGACTGCGGGCGTCTCCGCAGCGCTGCCGTAACCTGTAGAGGCGTCTCCGCTTCGCCTGGTCGGAAGACTGCGGGTGTCTTCGCAGCGCTGCCGTAGCCTGTAGAGGCGTCTCCGCTTTGCCTGGTCGGAGGACTGCGGGTGTCTCCGCAGCGCTGCCGTAGCCTGTAGAGGCGACTCCGCTTCGCCTGGTCGGAAGACTGCGGGCGTCTCCGCAGCGCTGCCGTAGCCTGTAGAAGCGTCTCCGCTTCGCCTGGTCGGAAGACTGCGGGCGTCTCCGCAGCGCTGCCGTAACCTGTAGAGGCGTCTCCGCGTCTCTTTGTCAGGGGACGACAAGCAACACAGTCAGCCTGGAGACTTTTCTACTCCGCTTGACTACGTGATGGGAGACTACTAACTTCACTTCGTTTCTTCCTTCAGCACTGTGAGTGAGTTGATAGAATCTTAAATAAGTCTTTCGAGAAATACTCTTAGTACCTACTAGTTAATCAATACGAATATAAAAACAATTTAATTTGTCGTATAAGTAACTTAGTGAGAACTTTCAAGTCCAATGATAATTATTTCCTGTCATAATAAAACGTTTATTTCAGCCTTGAAATTTGTAGTAAGTAAATTAATATTACTTGTAAAGGAATTTATAAATGTTACTTTCAGACATTTCATGCAAGAAGTAAGTTATAAAAATATACTTCCTTAAAAACAGTTCATTTCAGAAATGGAAACTTGAAACTGTAAGTTAACAAATAATTGAAAACTGATCTAATTTCTATTGATCATTAATTTCTTGTTCATAACGATGTTTTTGTGTTAATTATGTTTCTTCTACAGAGTAGGAAAACAATGTAAGTTCGTTTCGTTTTAAGATAAAAATCTGCCAGACCAAATTACCTGATAAAATTCTGATTGCTAATTATAGCACTAGGTTAGACCAATAACAATAACTTTTACAGATGAGATGGAAAAATAAGATAAGTTTAAACATAAATTATAATACTCTTATATTTGAGGATCGTATAAGAAACTGCATGCAACTGCAAACATAGTATTAATATAAGGTGCGTATCGTCAGAATGAATGCTTCAATCAAGAGGACTCTTTAAATTCAACTAGAGGTGGGTCTGAATATATTTCAGCATAGAAACAAAAACTACCGACAAATGATAATAGAGATGTTCTAATGATACATGGAAAATTGGTGGTATTAAGATAAACTAATGAAATAAGGAAATCTGTTCAAAAAGTTACACCTAAGAACCTACTGGCGTAGATCAATACCATACCATAAGTCAGGTAAGTTGCAAAAGCATTAGTAATAATATTTTCAGAAGAATAAATGCAAACAGAATCGAACAAGGTAAAGGAAAAGAACAACTTCTACTTTTAAAAGGTAAAGACGAAGAGAAAACGTAGCCGCAAGAGGAGATTTTGACCTTTCAGGATTTCCAGTCAAGCATACGAAGTTTCACCAGCAGTCTTATTGAATTTGGATAACTTTATAAACATAATACAGTCACGTAACAGAATGGAATGACAAGCAATGAGGCTACTAATAAAACAACAACGCTACACGTATGTATTACCATGAGTAATAATATGATAAGGATAATGCATTTTTCTCAACAGATAGCGAACAATTACTAAAATGTCCTGTGTTGAATGAGTAATAAGAGATTTTTATAAAAAAGACCCCAACCCCAAAAGTGACATGGAAATCGTTGATCCGGTGAGTTTCCTATTATGGAATTGACAACAGGATATCTCCGAAAAGTAACGTCGAAGGACAATTTTACACTGTACGTAATAATATATGAATATTGCAATCGGCGGTCTTCAAATCGGAGATGTCTTCACAGCATCACACAAAGTGAGTTCTAGATAAGACAGGAAACAAATTGAAAATTCAAGGAATAACGAAAAAATTTTTACAAAGGAAATTCATACAGATGATACGAAATAAATATTTACGAGGTGAGTTATACAGGAATCACATGGTCATTTCTAGTATGAAAATAATTATACATATCGAATGATTTGGAGCATCCCTTGCTTACCCAACATGAGATCAAGTAACAAACAAATCGTTTGGCGTCGCATATATCTCTAAATTGGTGAAAAACTAAACAATTACATTAAGAAATGGAAAAACTCGTAAGGAGGTAAGTGGTCTAACAGGAGTCACATCGTTTTAATTTTAGGGTGACATAGATATCAAAAAACAAAAGAAACAAAATTACAAGTAAAATAAGAGGAAAACATGAGGTGAGTGAAACTAAAACACTTTCAGACGAAGCGGTTGGAAATACCCAAGATTGTATTTCCAACCGCTTCGTGAAGAATACTTAAAACAACAGACAAAATTATAAGAATACGAATGATAGAGAAAATGAAAAAGTAGGGTCCCTAACAGTTTCCTCTTTCAGGTTCGAAACATTTTTCAGACATAAATTGGAAAGGATGTGATTGAAAAAATAGAATCAAAATTAAAATTAACACGTATACTCTTACGCCGTGCGTAAGTATAGTTAATCCAAACATTGTTCACAGAATTCAAAGAAAAATATATGAATGTAATAATATAAACTAGGTTTATTTAATAAAAGAAATTCGTTAACAATAATATCAAAAATGATGGCGCATAGTAGTATGGACAACATGTAAATGTATGATACAATTAACCAAGAAAAGTAAAATAAAAAATTAAGAAGAGTAAAAATAGAACGTTACCCGACTGGAGATGATACCACGAAACTTATATTTATACAGCCCTTGTAAATATGTACGTACACAATCCAAAATAGTACATAATCAAAGAATAAAAAAATTGCTGATGAGTTTTCTTTAAAATATAATGATGACAAAAGATAACAAAAAAGTACCCAAATAAACAACGAAAACTAATAAAAAAGAGAGTTGGAACATAGAAAGAAAGACGAAGGTGAAGAAAGAAGAGGAAGATGAAGAATGAAGATGAAGAAAGAAGACGAAGATGAAGAATGAAGATGAAGAAAGAAGACGAATATGAAGAAAGAAGATGAAGATGAAGAAAGAAGACGAAGATGAAGAAGGAAGATGAAGAATGAAGACGAAGATGAAGAAAGAAGACGAAGATGAAGAAGGAAGATGAAGAATGAAGACGAAGATGAAGAAAGAAGACGAAGATGAAGAAGGAAGATGAAGAATGAAGACGAAGATGAAGAAAGAAGACGAAGATGGAGAAAGAAGATGAAGAAAGAAAACGAAGATGGAGAATGAAGATGAAGAAAGAAGACGAAGATGAAGAAGGAAGATGAAGAATGAAGACGAAGATGAAGAAAGAAGACGAAGATGGAGAAAGAATACTGGAAGATGAAGGAAAAAGAAATTAGTTTAAATCCTCATTAAAATGCAAAATTATAATACCTAAAAAGAGATGCCATAGAAAGGCACACACACAGAGCAGCTGCTGCTACGAAGGTGAAGAAATAAGAGGTGCTGCCGGGAGATGAAGAAATAAGAGGTGCTGCCGGGAAATGAAGAAAGAAGAGGTGCTGCCGGAAGATGAAGAAAGAAGAGGTGCTGCCGGGAGATGAAGAAAGAAGGTGCTGCCGGAAGATGAAGAAAGAAGAGGTGCTGCCGGGAGATGAAGAAAGAAGAGGTGCTGCCGGGAGATGAAGAAAGAAGAGGTGCTGCCGGGAGATGAAGAAAGAATAGGTGCTGCCGGGAGATGAAGAAAGAAGGTGCTGCTAAGAAGATGAAGACAGAAGACTGGAAGACGAAGACGTAGAGAGAAGACTGGAAGATGAAGAACGAAGAGGTGCTGCCGGGAGATAAAGAAAGAAGATTGGAAGAGACAAGAGCAGGTACTGCTAAGAAGATGAAGACAGAAGACTGGAAGACGAAAAAAGAAGACGAAGACGAAGAAAGAAGATGAAGACAGAAGACTGGAAGACGAAGAAAGAAGACGAAGACGAAGAAAGAAGACGAAGACGTAGAGAGAAGACTGGAAGATGAAGAACGAAGAGGTGCTGCCGGGAGATGAAGAAAGAAGGTGCTGCTAAGAAGATGAAGACAGAAGACTGGAAGACGAAGAAAGAAGATGAAGACAGAAGACTGGAAGACGAAGACGAAGAAAGAAGACGAAGACGTAGAGAGAAGATTAGAAGATGAAGAACGAAGAGGTGCTGCCGGGTGATGAAGAAAGAAGGTGCTGCCGGGAGATGAAGAAAGAAGACGAAGACACAAAGTAAAGAAAAGAAAGAAGGCGCTGCTGCGAAGACAAAGAAAGAAAAGGTGCCGCCGGGAGATGAAGAAAGAAGACTGGAAGACGTAAAGAGAAGACTGGAAGACAAAGATGAAGAAATAAGACTTAGACACAAAAGCAGATGCTGCTACGAAGATGCAGAAAGAAGAGGTGCCGCCGGGCGATGAAGAAAGAAGAAGTGCTGCCGGGAGATGAAGACAGAAGAAGTGCCGCCGGAAGACGAAGAAAGAAGAGGTGCCGCCGGGAAGACGTAGAGAGAAGACAGGAAGACGTAGAGAAAACTGGAAGATAAAGAAAGAAAACTGGGAGATGAAGAGAGAAGGCTGGAAGATGACGAGAGAAGACTGGAAGACAAAGATGAAGAAACAAGACCTTAAGACACATAAGCAAATGCTGCTAAAAAAATAAAGAAAGAAGAGGTGTCGCCAGAAGATGAAGAAAGAAGACTGAAAGACGTAGAAAGAAGACTGGAAGACGTAGAGAAGACTGGAAAACGTAGAGAAGACTGGAAAACGTAGAGAAGACTGGAAGACGTAGAGAAGACTGGAAGATGAAGAGAAAACTGGAAAACGAAGAGAGAAACTGGAAAACGAAGAGAGAACACTGGAAGACGAAGAAAGAAGACAAGAACATGCAAAGAGAAGAAAAAGAAAAGAAGAGCAGGTACTGCTGTGAAGATGAAGAAAGTAAACAAACTACTAGAAATAGAAACCGGTCCCATTGCAAAGATTTAAAAAATTAAAACTACGAGAAAGAAGATACCATCCCATTGCGAAAATGAAGAAAGCGAAAGATAAAATAACAATACGAAGACGAATAAGAAAACAAAACTACATGAAAGAAGAGAAAATCTCATTGTAACGACGAAGAATAAAATACTAGAAAGAAGAAAAAATCCCATTGCGAAGACGAAGAAACAAAACTACAAGAAAGAAGAGAAAATCTCATTGCAACTACGAAGAAAAAATCTACTAGAAAGAAGAAAAAATCCCATTGCGAAGATGAAGAAAGAAACCTACAAGAAAGAAGAGAAAATCCCATTGCGAAGACGAAAAGCAGGACCCATTGCAAAGCTGAAGAAAGAAAACTACAATAAACAAGATACCATCCCATTGCGAATATGAAGAAAGAAGAACAGATCCCATAGCGAATATAAAGAAAAAGAAATTCAAGAAAGAAACTAGAAAACCTGAGAATACGAAGATCTGGAGAAAATATACAGGCGAATTGAGAACTAGAACTTTCTCCTTTTTGATAAATTCTACTACCTGTCTTGAAGTCGAATAAAAAGAGAAGCAGGTGCTACTAGAAGAGATGAAATGCTGCCAAGAAAAATAATACGGAAAAGAAGAGGACCAGATGATGTTGCAAATATGACGAAAGAGAAGAGAAAAAAATGTAAAAGAATAAACTACAAAAACAAATCCAAAACATTGATCATAAGAAGAATGCGTGATGCTGCGATGTTTCAGAAGAAATACCAAGACTGGAATAATTAAAAAGATAAATTAATAGAATAAACCCAAAACAGATACTGTAACGATGAAGATATGCGAGGGAGGAGTAGGAGGAGGAGGAGGGATTCAAGAACACTACATCAACCCAATGAAGAAGGCAGTTCAAGAAGATACAATTAAATTGCACAATCATATAGGTAAGATCCACGTTTCCATCCCAACTCCCAACTAATATTATAAATGCGAAAGTAACTCTGTCTGTCTGTCTGTTACGCTTTCCCGCTTAAACCTCGCAACCGATTTTGATGAAATTTGGCATAGAGATAGTTTGAGTCCCGGGAAAGAACATAGGATAGTTTTTATCCCGGTTTTTGAAACAGGGACGCGCGCGATAAAGTTTTTCTGTGACAGACAAAATTCCACGCGGGCGAAGCCGCGGGCGGAAAGCTAGTTTAACTATAAAGAGGAAAGATAATTTATATCATTTTTATATTTAAAAAAAATATATGTACCTACCTACCATCTATTCGTGCGAGACTGGGACTACTATTTAATTTTATGAAATCACCCGAATCATGGGAAGAGCATAGAAAAAAAATGATTCAAAAAATAATATTAAATACCTACCTACATCAGAATTCGTTTTTTAATGTTGTATTTAAAAAATACCTACCCCAATAATTATACCTCTTGTTTCTTTTTCAGGTAAAATCATCTTGCAACATTCATCATCTTTTATAGGAACCATCAAAGTTGTGAGATTTCCTTTCGAAATAAAATGTAATTAATTAAAACTTTTTGTTTTCCTACACTTGACCTGTACCCACTATTTATATACAGACTGCTTTAATCTTATTATCTAACTACGGATAACATTTCCTTTCTTCCTTTGGCTTTCGGCATAGTCGGGTTCGATTCCCGATCAGTAATCTAGGAAGAACCTAACCGCTCAGTATACCAGCACAGACTCCAATAATATCAATCATGGTCATGTATTTGTCCTAATAAATAAATAACGTAATTATTTCGGCTTTTACCCGTGGTCCCCCCAACATGTCCCCGGTTAAAATAAATTACCCGTAGACCCACTGGCAAACACTGTTCAGAACGGTGGGACAACGGGTAAAAAAAATTACCCGTGGACCCACCAGGGGGACATGTTGGGGGGACCACAAGTAAAAGCCGAATTATTTTTATACTTTTTAGTGGACTTTTTGGTGGCGGCTAAGTTTTTGAGGGTCGGTTTTTTAAACGCAGTTTAGGGTGAAATTTTTAATATACCATGGGAGGGAAATACTCTTAATAAGAGGGCTTAGTGTGAGATTACATCAAAGGTCACTAGCGAGCGCGTTAAAAAAATATCGAATGCGTTTGACGTAAACTCACACTACATACGCTCCCTATAGTCAGTTTCATTCAGGTATTAACACGAAGGCTGAGTAAGGATCTCGCGGTGAAACAAAAACACTATTCTAGACATCCATAGTTTTATTATAATGAATAACGATACAAAAATATATGGCTACATCGTACTCTCAAAACTCTCCTAATTCTAAACAAAAAAGTAACAATATGGTTAAGAATATTGAATATTATGTAAACAAGTTCAACTCGTAATATAAACGGTAAATCTCAAATGTGTACCTAAGTAGGTATAGATGGTTTCATCCACGAAGACGCGCCCCACCAATTTTTGGTCGAGGGAAGCGCTTGGTGAGAGAATCGAGGGGTTTGATTCGAGCAATCCGAGCGTCATTATTGCATGTGCGTGTGAACTCATGGATAATTTAGCGTGTACCGATAACATTCAAACATTAGCGGAAGAATGGTGGGGCGCGTCTTCGTGGATGAAATGATCTATATGTACATAATTATGATTTCTGCATGAAAAAGATCACATTATGATAACAATACTAACAGTTTTATTCTTAAAGCTATAGAATAGAATCAAAACAGTAAGTATACATTTTAAAATACAATCCCGTACGTAGGTACAATACCTTGTAGTTGTTCGTGACACACACTTGCTCTCTTATGTGCGTAACTCTGACTCTGCTGCCTAAACTGAGCGTTCTCGTTATGCACACAAAGAAAATGTGCATGTACATTTACACTTACAAGTATGACTCACCCGCTTTCGTGAGATAGAACAGGAGGATCAGTTATTTCTCATTATGTTTAAACTAGCTTTCCGCCCGCGGCTTCGCCCGCGTGGAATTTTGTCTGTCACAGAAAAACTTTATCGCGCGCGTCCCTGTTTCAAAAACCGGGATAAAAACTATCCTATGTTCTTTCCCGGGACTCAAACTATCTCTATGCCAAATTTCATCAAAATCGGTTGCGAGGTTTAAGCGGGAAAGCGTAACAGACAGACAGACAGACAGACAGACAGACAGACAGACAGACAGACAGACAGACAGAGTTACTTTCGCATTTATAATATTAGTTGGGATTGTAAAGTTTTGTGAACAGTTTTTATCAGTAGTATGATGCGTATGACAGTATCCTGGGAATAACAACTAACTTTCAGTCATTCAATAGCACAAAAATCTCTGTTTCTTAAAAAGTAAAAAGCTGAAAACAACACTTTTAATGGTAATTGAAATCTTACTGACTAATCTTAACTAAAAACGTAGGTACAAGTATCACTATCGACCCGCTTTATAATAAGCGGAAGTAACTTACTAACTTAGTTACACATGGTCAAAACAAAATAAGTATAAAAAGTAAAGTACGTGTTATATCAAATACTCAACATTTTGCGACAAGAAAAGTATTTTGGTCACAACAAAATCACATGTTACAGTCGCCAAATCAGACAAAACTTGAACAATTCCTCGATTGATTTTGATCCTTATCTTACAGAAGATAAAGTCCAATGAGGATGAAGTTATCAATTGCAGATTGGTAACCGATAGGGATCGGTTACAAAGGTTAGGTACAGTGGGTAGGGTTCCCAACCCTCCCGGATTGCCCGGGAGACTCCGGAAATAATGGTTAACCTCCCGACCTCCCGGAGAGCAATATTTTCTCCGGTATTTCTAAAAATTAAATGCATCCATTGCTGCTCGTACTTGTTTATAAATTTTATCTTTAAAAGAACCAATCACATGGACCAGCATTACTAAACTCCAGGAATTATTAAATATTGACATAGATAGTGACAAATTGTACGATGAGGTTGGACTTTTGTGTGAGGTGCAACCACATCTTATTGAAGAAAGTCGAGTGGGTTTACGCTGGGTTGACTTCTTTACGAAATCGAAAAACAGAAATCCCTGTCCTGGATAAAAAAAAATGGTCACGTTTGTTCTTTCCATTCAGCGTGATGGAGCAACTATGGAGCAAGCCCCCCCCCCCCCCACAATTCTCCCGGGTTGGTCCTTTCAAGAGTTGGCAACCCTAACAGTGGGTCACAATTCCAGCTACTCATTCCGGTCATGTCGTCTCATTCTATCGCAAAGAATAATTGTATTGATGAGATCGAAAGAAAAAACGGAAATGTCAGCTGGAACTGCAGTAATACGGTTCGTTTTATGTAATTTATCTACCAACGAAGATAATTAACTGTTGCTGGCCACCGGCGGCAAAATGGAATATTAATATCACATATCATCTAGAAATATGTACTAAAAATACATTGCCACAAGCCATAGCTTATGACATAACGGTACATAATGTATGTAGTTACTTTTTCTTCTTTTTAATCGACTCTTCTTTCGGCTTCGGCAAAGCTTCAGACAGGCGACACTTCTCGAAGCGAGTCTTAGCGATTTCTATGAGAAGTTTGGAGTCCCGTTCGATCTGTTGGGTGTCCATTCCGAAGAAGCAGTCGAATTCTTTACAAAGGTCCATGTAGGTGCGCCATTTTCTGTCTCTGGTTAGGCAAGTTGGATTGCCTATGATTATGATTTTGGCTTTGGCTCTAGTTATGGCTACGTTGAATCTCTGAAAATAAATTAAATATGCATTAGATACAATCATGAAATATTTTAGCAGTATCCTTTAGATTAATCTTTTACAGACTGAACATGATCTCGAAAGATTTTTCAAACAATCAGTATGTTTGACATCAAGCAAGATTTTATTGGGTACAAAGTAACAAACATCACCAGAACATCAGATATTTCGCGATCGCTTCACCCAGCGTAGTTAGTAAGTAGAAAAAAGGCTTATTGAAGCGATTTCGAAATTCAAACTGTCGCGAAAGTTATTTTGTCGCACTTACCTTGTCGTCGACCAAGAATCCAAGCCCGTATTTTGCGTCGTAGTCCAACAGCCTACAGTTGGCTCGGACGGTGGAAACAAGTATCACACGTTTTTCTTTGCCTTGGAACGACTCTACAGTGCCCACTTCGATTTTTTCGTAATTCTCTTCTTTTAGCCAGGCCTTCATTTTGTATACCTGCGAAATGGTCAACAAGATTAAACATAGGAACGTTAAATTAAAGGTTCGTAGCGAATTTCTAGATTAACCTCTAATTTTGTAAGAAGTCAATAAAAAAGTATTTAGTATGATTTAGTATCATGTCTAATTTGAGGTAGTATTGGAACAAACCTGACGTATGTAAGGCGCAATCACACCGATATCCTCCGGCAAAACACCGTGAGTCAGGATCAACGCTTTGATGTATCTTTTCAACATATCCAGTTCCCTCTCGTTGAAATAGCTGGAAATATAGATAAATATATAAAGAAGATAAATCAGCAGTGTCGTGATGTTGAATAGAAGAAAAGTACACCCTCATTAGTCTTCGATTAACCCGTCAATCCCCAAGCGATCGCATATGAACGCGTAACAATTGACTATCTAGTGTTTCGATTCCCCGGGCTTGAAGGGATAATAACAATTGAATATTCTTAATAATAAAGAGTATAGACGTTAGAGATCTCATGACGTCATTGGTCATGTTAGAACGACACGCAGTCCCATACAAGTTACTATGGGCGGGTGACATTTGACGTCACGCTCAGCTATTTCCATACTAAATTTAAACACATGTAGCTTTTTTGTTTCCAGTCCGATTTCAATACTAGTTTTTCTATTCAGAAATTGTATGATTTAAGTAAAGTGTTTATTTATACATAATTTATTAACTTTTAAAATCGATGCATATTCCCTATTGACTCACTGGCTGGTGGTTAGTGTAAGAAATAAAGACTAATTTATTATTACTGACGGGAATGCTACCATGTATCTTAATTTTGAGTTTCCGATATTTCGGCACTGTTGTAAGCCATGCCATGGTCACGGAGTAACTGAGGAAACTTGCGGGTAAGATTTTATGGGCAGACATATCGGTAATGTAGCAATCCCGTCAGTAATAATAATTATGACCATGAAAGTTTAAAACAATAAATAAAGACTACTTTACCTTGGCGCGTTGCCCATGCGCTGCTCCCTAGAGTGTACGGCGTGGAACACGACCGCGCGGTTCCCGCCCGGCAGCCCCAGGATGCTCACTTGACTTAGCGGGTCTGGTTTCGCTAGAGCCTGGAACATGACAATCCTTTAGTAGTATGTGACTTTAAGGACCCTCGACCACGGCGACTTTTTGTAACGATGCTGTCGCACGTTTCGTAAACGAACGATAGCAACGCTACTAACGCGCGTTAGTTACATTTGGATCGCGATACAGAAGTGCGCTTTATGGATGCAAACGCGCGGCCGTGTCGGATGAAATCGGTGAGAGAACGGAGGGAGGTTTACTTAATCACGTTTGAATCGCGACAGTATCGCGTTTGCATTACGACTGAATCGTGATCGTATTTCTGTGGGCGAGGGCACACAGCTAACGACCGAATTGCGACTGTATCGGTGCGAACCCGCGACAGAATCACTACTGTATCGCTACAAAAAGTCGCCGTTGGCGATGGGCCTAACAGTGCCGGCTATTATCGCCTTTAAAGAAAAATGGTTCTGAGAGGCTTACTCAGATTGGCCGGCGTTTTACAACTGAAGTTAGCCTATCTCTAACATAGCATGTAAGCTCTGTATTGTTGGATCTTTCTCATTTCACGTTTGCTACTGTATACATTAGCAGACTGCAGTTTCAGCTCAGAACTTCCGAAGTTCAATCAACTGTGAGCACATTATTAGGTACTTAAACCAAAATCGCAAGTGACGAAGACGAAAAAAATTTTTTCTTAGCAATTTTAACAAACTTACTTGCAAATTATCTTCATAGAACAATGTGTTTGGTATCTGCAGGATGTCAGGGTCGGAGCGGAAGTTCTTGACGAGCATGGTGATGTAGTCAGAATCGTCGGTGTAGAGGTTTTCGTAGGTGGTTCGCAGACGCTCCAGGAGAGATTGACCTGAATAAATAATAGTATTTTTTATTCAAAAAACATGACATGTACTCCGACTATCCAGAGCCACAACTGCACTGGGATCGGAGATATGCGCGGATTAGTAAGTAGCTAAAAGGTCAGATGAAGGCCATGATAGTCAATAAGATAAGTCATTCTTAACATGGGATTCCTATTTTATTTTGATTAATTTTGCTTTTCCCTATGACGAACTTGGCCTTCACTAGTTTGGTTTTTATTGGCGGTCAAGTTGTAGATTCTGGCTACACGTGAATTGGAGCGGCAACGAGAGATGGGAATATTCCCGTTGTGTCCAGTGAGTTTTGAAGAAGCCTGGCTCCGCGTGCCCGCCCGGACGGAACAGGGGGCTCAGTGTGAGTTTATATCAAACGTATTCGATATAGAGTGCGTCAAAAGTCTATGAGGATTTTAGTTTTTGAAAGTCGCTAGGGACGCTGCACAATCGGTCATACATTTAAAGTCATTTTTTACGCAGTGGATATCGAATACGATTGATATAAACTCACAATAGCGGTGAGAATATTCCCGTTGTGTCTAAAGCCCGGTCTGTGAGCACGTAGAATGTTGTCCACTGACCCCAAGCTACCCATCCTTATCGCTCGCGCGTATTGCTGTCGCGACTGTGCGACGGGCGCCCGCAGTGAGTGTGCGAGCGCGACAGCAACATAATTACGCGCGCGCGATAAGGATGGGTAGCTTGGGGTCATTGGACAAAATTCTACGTGCTCGCAGACCAGACTATAGTGGGTTCTGAAGCAGCCCGGCCGTGGGGTCATCACGCTCACGTGACGAGAGTGGCCGGCGCCGGTACTCACCCAGGCCGCGCTTGCTGGCCTCGTGCGAGATGCAGACGGGCCCGAGCTGGCGCGGGTCCAGTGTTGCCAACTTAGCTAGATTTAGCAAGTTTTTGATGTCAGGCAGCTACAATTTTTTTTAACTTGTAGCTAAACTTTTTAGCTACTTTTTCTAGCAACCATTATGATATATTTTTACAAAGTTAAGGTAGCGGCATCCCCGACAAACAAAATTAGTATTAGCAATATACGATACGACTCACTTAATCGGTGCGGAATAACTTTGGGGATTCCCTCGTTTGACTGGTTTTGGCCTAATATTGTCTTCTTTTATTTGTTAACTAGCTGACCCGGCGAACTTTGTTCCGCCTTAATGGCAATAAATAAGCAGACTTTTTTTTTAATTTCGAACGGGATAAAAAGTATCCTATGTCCTTCTCCTGGCTCTAAACTACCTCCCTGACAATTTTCAGCTAAATCGGTTCAGCCGTTCTTAAGTTATAAGCGAAGTAACTAACACGACTTTCTTTTATATATATAGATTAAGTAGTCACAGTATTAAAGTTAAGTTGATTACAGTTTATAGCTGAATTATTAACTGCAATGTTTTATTTCTTTAGTATTTTATTTACTTCGCAATTCAGTTACTTCTAGCTACTTTTTAGGGAGAAAAAAATACTCAATCTAGCAACTTTCTGTTAAATTCCTAGCTACGAGCCTTTGGAGCTGTTGGCAACACTGGTCATCACGCTCACGTGACGAGCGTGGCCGGCGCCGGTACTCACCCAGGCCGCGCTTGCTGGCCTCGTGCGAGATGCAGACGGGCCCGAGCTGGCGCGGGTCGCCGGCGAGCACGAGCTGGCCGGCGGGCGCCAGCAGCCCGGCCGTGGGGATGAGCGTGGCCGGCTCCGACGCCTGCGCCGCCTCGTCGATGAATAAGTGCGACATCTGCAGCTTGTGCAAGCTTTGGCTTCTGCTCCTGGAGGGGACGGATAGAGATAACGCTTTATTTTTATGCTAAAATACTGCATAGAGATGTACAGGACGAGTAAAGGATACGGCGGAATCATAGATTGATGCCCGTTTTCACCATCAATCCCTTATTTTTAAATGACCCCTATGATAACAAAATGCCTGATTTAGCTTAAGAGCGTTTACGTCTAGCGTGGCATGTCAAGTTTAGGTAATTTCGATGCTAGTTTTATTCACACTAAAATAATTATGTCTGTGTGCGTGTTCTCACGCTCTATAGTCAAACCAAAATACTTTGATCCACCATCGTAAAAGTGTGCCAGGCTGTCAAGTGACAGCTCAAGGAAACTATAAAATCTTCAAATCTTCCAACAAATTCTTTATCAAATAGTAAATTATCGAAGGTTTTTTACTATTTTGAGAATATTTTATACAGCCTATGTTCAGCAGAAAAAAAATTGAATTTTAATGGTGAGAGATTTTTTCAAATCGGTTCTATTCAAAATAAACTTTTCCTGTTTACTATTCTTTTTTTATCCGGAAAATGCATAACATTTCATACCCACCAGCTGCGGGGGCAGCTAGTGGGTTATGTGGGGTTCTTCCTACCAGAAGGTGGGTAGCCCCTACACCCACTAAAAACCTGACTGTTTCTTCCATGATCCATATGAGTGATATGAGGGAGCTCGGGACATCGCCATTGGCTGTTGCCTGTAGCATTCGTCCTTAGCCGCCACCAGACACCTCCATGTCTAGTGACCGAGGCCTGTTAGGAAGGGACAGTTGGAGACCATAAGCTGTCCTCTTGCGCCCAGGGTGTCGGCGGCGGATAACCGGAGTGTCGGCTGAGGCCTCTCGCTCCCCCTTTCCACTGCTTCTTTCTGTGAAAGAACACTTTCACAGAAAGTAAGCACACTATACCATAAGATTATTTGTCTCATCATATATTTTATACTAATGTAGATATTGTTTCCGAAAGCGAGCGGGTTCATTCCGTACCTGTACGCTTCATGCGTTCTCTAGCAAAAGCTGAAAATCAGTGTTCTGCCCTTTTGAGGGTAGTGTNGTGGGAATAGTCCCGTGCTAAATAAATAAAGCCTTGGGTGATCATTGCATATTGCGTATTTACCTAAAAAGCAAGTTCTATTTAAGCCCTGTAAACATACAAAGCTTTCTTTTTAGGTATTTTTCCGACGCTAATAAAGGTGACGTAAGGTTATTGAATTACGTTTTGGTCTCCTCAATTGTTATTTTTCAGCAATATTTGCTTTAATGTAAATGCGAGTTATTTCCATTCATAACAATAGAATATTTGTGTATTGTCTTCGTTTTTATTGAAACCTAAAAACTGCTAAAGAATGAAAAAACTTCATTTATTTTTCCAAAGATTTTACATGCCTAACTGGCATGTATAAATGAAACTTAAAGGCACATTTTTTTACGCGCCACAATATTATTGTTAATTTATTTAACTTACAACTTTGTCTTCTTTACAAAAGAGTCCCAACTATAAAATTAGTTCTTGAAGAACTCGGTCTTTCAAATTACCGCCAATATAATAAAACCAGGTTATCTTTAAGAAAACAGCACACCCATGTAAATTATCACTGCCCTTGCTATAATATCTATAATATATCCAGAGCACTTATCAGATGGCTAGGAATTAGACCAATACTTTATTATGTTTATTTATTGCATTCCTTCAGCTTTGCCGCACACTTGGGAATTACTATACATATTACTCGCAGTCGCTTTTGCAAACTCCACTGAACCACATGAGTTTCTTTACTCTAGTGACAGAAGTTCAGAACTAAGAAACTGACAAAATGGTTTACAAAACATCACCAATACTTTGAAAATCTTGCACATAAAATAATTGTCAAAACAATCTTATCAATCTACCAAAATAAAGAATTACTTACACGTCTCATTGATCTCAAGATTATTTTACTTTGCGATCTTATGATAAGTACTTTAATACGGATCATTAAGAACCTAGACAATGGCAATTTTTGTGTGCAAAATTATCAGTTTCTATTGTCATATCCACCCAAATTACAAGCAAATCTCCGAAAATTGTGTCCGCAAATTAGTGGCACCGCTGGCAGCCACTGGTGGTCCAATATGCTCCTTAAAGGTAGCCTTTCAAAGTAAGCGTCACAGACGCAGCGTCTATAACTTTGGTCTTGTGCCAACAACGCCGCGTCACTTACTCGCTTCGAAAGGCTACCTTTAGACCAAAGCTAAAGACGCTGCGTCTGTGACGCTTAGTTCGAAAGGCTACCTTTAGCGCCTTGGTGGCTAACTTGTGGCTTAGTGTGCGGCAGCGGTTATCAGCTGTATTCTATTACTAGTGATAAGGGTGATTAGTGGGACAATAGCTATGATTAGATTTGTTTGATTCTCACGTGGCAGTGTTGGCACTAATCAATTAATTTTTTAATCAATTAATTAATTTGATTAATTTTAATCATGATTAAATTAATCCTGATTAAAATAATCATGATTAAAAAAATAATCATTAATCATGATTAATTTGTTAATCATTAATCAATAATCATTAATTTGATTAACTTGATTAACTTCTTAAATGTTCTATCGAAAACAATGCTATAACATTGAATTCTAGTATTAGATGTTTGGTTTTAGGCTACAATTCTATGACAGGTCATACCTAGATAAATATAAGGTAACCTAGAGTGCCCTCCGCCCCCTTGCCTCGCTGAAACTTCCGGTGCAGTCTTCCGACCTCCCGTAGGAGGATATCAGTCCACTTCCCCTACCGTTCCAGCACTTACTTGCAACCCCACACTCCCACCACCTGCCCCCCACCCCTAGCCTCACCTGAAACTTCTGGTACGATGTCTCCTGCACCTCCCCAACACGCAAAACCTCCTACTTTAGCAACCCCACCCTTCTTTGAATTGCCCACGCGTGGCTCTCCCCCCGAAACTTCTGGTACGAAGTCTCCTGCACCTCCCCGACACGCAAAACTTCCTAGCTTAGCAACCCCACCCTTCTATTGAATTTGTAAAATGCTTAAATCTAAAAATTTTCTCAGATAACTATTTGCCCAAGGATCTATGCTATAGGATATAAATGTTTGTTAAATCGTTTTCACAGTATTTTTATAAACAAATCAGCTTGTAAACTGACGCTAAAGTGGAAATTTACAAAACCTGTGTGGACTTATCTTGATATAATTCTTAAATGCTAAACTAATTGCAATATTTTCTCAATTAACTATTTAGACGACGAAATTGCCTAACTATTTATGCCTATAACATATTTGTAGTATTACTGGTTAATGATTGTAACGAGTTGAAAAAGTACTGTTTTTGCGCCAAACGGCGTAAACGCTCTTAACAAGTCACTTAAAAATTACGGATTGATGGTAAAAAAGGACATAAGGCTAAGAACTCAAGAAATGGGTTTCACCCGCGCCCACCGCGGTTGCGGAACAACAGCTGCTGTATTTATTCCATAAGTCACGATATCGCTGCTTAGTGACAGAAGACGGGCGATTGGTCACACAAAAATCACAGTTGACCGCCAACCGACCGCAAAGCGCGTGGGAGCAATCTGCCGAGGCTGCGGCTGTCCGCTAGTGCAACGGGAGCCCAAACAACAACGCACGCCGCGGGCGTAAACCGCCTCGTTAAATGCTACCTATAGCAGCCACTGCCGCGGAAGAAAATCGCTCCATGAGTTCTTAGCTTAATGACGCAAGTACACTATGCCAAAAATTTACCGAGACGAAGCGCTAGATCGTACACCGAAGTATGGGCGACGCACGGGTGGAGGTAAGAGACAGTAACCGAGATAGTGTTCACACTATTATGTTTCGGCCAATTTCCCTCATAGTGTAGATACTTGCGCCATAAGAATTATGTAAATGAGTACTACTAGATTGGCATATGGAGCGAAAATTAAATGAATAGGTACAAAGTTTGAAGTAATCTTGCAATTTATTACGACTACCGTACTTGCTAAATCTAATACTTACGAAGCATATTTAGCGGCGTGCGACAAGGTGGTGACGACGACGCGGTAGGTGGACATCTGCAGGTTGCTGACGGAGAAGAAGTTCTCGTAGTTTGTCCCGTTGGACACGGGCGCTAGCTCCGCCGGCATCACTGTCCTGAATTGCAACAGTTTCAACTATTTATTGATACCTTTTTAAGGCACTTGAAAACGTCCCGTCGATCTTTCGGGGCAATTATAGATTGATATAAGCCCTAGATTCTAGGTCATTGGTTCCCAAAGTGGGGGGCGCGCCCCCCAGAGGAGGCGCAAAAACCTTTAAAGGGGAGCGCGGGCCATTAAGTATAAAAAATCTGCGACCGCTGAGAGAAATTTTTGTATGGTCGCAAGGGGGCGCGTCTCAAATAAGTAAGGGAACCCCTGCCCTAGAACTTTTCATTCACAATTTTGATTCAGTTCCAAATTGAAACATATTTCGTACATAAAGTCCCCCGAAAGTAGTAACAAATAAACCCAGAATTAATTTAGACATAGTTTTAGATAGGTTTTTATGGATATGAACGATACGCGTTAAAGTTAATACAGTCGAATTGAAAACCTCCTCCGTTTTTAAGTCGGTTAAAAAGGCAGGTTAGAGTAACTTATTAGTAATCTATGGCAGGGTGAAGAGTTATGTGCTAGCAACACTTTTATTTATTATTTAATATTTTGAATCAGTTACACTAAAGAAATAAAATAAAGTTGTTCAACTCACCACTCCCTGGAACGGGAATTAGCACGCAGCAAGAAGTTGTTAATATTTAGAACTTTATTGTACCGCATAAGCATTAGGGCGATATGGTCGGCGGCCATGTTAGAATCTGTGCAAACCAACACTCTGTTTCTCGAGTTTCTTACCACTAGCTGAAAATGACATGATCATTAGAAGCATAAAAGATAATGTGTTATATTTTAATTAAATCTATGCGGACGAAATAATTTAAAGTTGGATTACACCATGTTACTTTCAAAAAAAGTCTGTCAAACTCCATACAAAAACACTGGTTATGGTTTAAGTTACTGATAAGTATTAGATGGTGCACCTCAGACTTTAATATTGGTTTCGCAAAGAAAGTTGAGGCGAACACGTACACACACTGATGTAATATTTGAATACAGAACACAAACAACACAAGTCAAATATCGAATACACTAGCTGCCTCGCTCTTGTTAAATGTCTGCAAATGAGACAGAAAGCAATTATCGGTCCGACTACGCAAGGCGTAAGCGCAGACAAATACAAATCTTTGCTTGTGTTGATTGCCTCAACTCTCTTTGCACGACCTATAATAAAGAACTTTAGATAGTAAAAAAGATATATTGTCAATTTACCTGTATAATGGCCTCAACAATTGTCATAGTCTTGCCGGTGCCAGGAGGCCCGAATACAATGTACGGAGCCTTCCCAGACGTGCCCGACACTATGTGCTCGACTGCCGACCTCTGTTCAGGATTATCCCTGATCAGCTTATTGTAGAACCTAGAGAATAAGATAAAGAACTATGATTCTGGCACAAAGCATCGAAATTAAATCATCAGTCCGATTGAGCGTTTTCAATTCAAAGTCAAAACGATGAAATGTCAGTTAAATTATGTGAGTACCTAAAGCGAGCTTATGTGAATAGAAATTAAGACAGTGTAGACTAAGCACACAACTAAGGCCTAGTTCAGACACGCACTATTCGGCACAACAGCCGCGCGGTATCTGGGTTAGTTCTCATAGGCGAGGCAATGAGGCAGTAACCATACGGTTACGGTTTAATAAACTTTAATGTAAATGTACGAGAACTGCCCAAAATCGCCCGCTCATTGCGCGTATCTGAACCAGGCCTAAGTATAATTTTTTTACCCACGAAAAAAACTATGTCCGAAACTACTAACAAGCTTACCGCACAATAAAGCGTACTTACTTATAAATGGGATAAACGGCGACTTTCTTCTTAATAGGAACCGGGAAGGCTCTGCAGGTCTGCTTAGAGGTAAAGATACCGGAGATGGCTTCGTGCATTCGCTCCATGGGCGTCCGGGACATCAAGAAGCGTACGTCGAACTCGCATGTCTCACTGTAATAGTTGCTGAAACTGGAAAAATAGAAAAAAATATAATAATCCGAGGACATTTTACACTGCATCTTGATCTAACAAGCCGGTCGAGTTAAAGAATGGCTTTCCAGCGAGGTGCGCAGTTATTTGCAATAAAAAAATTGAATTTGAATTTAATCGGATTAACTATGTAAAGCTTGTACTATGCGTACCAGACAACGGATATAAGTCCAATGGTACTGGTTTACGGGACTATTCCTACCTCCCGTTCCCATAACTACAATTCCTGTGTAACCAGGATCTACAACTTGACCGCCAATAAAAACCCATCAGTGAAGACAAAGTTGGTCCCGGAGGGAAGTTTAACAATCATTGGACAAAATTCGTGGGTCGAATCACGAAAAGGCGTAACTGATTTTTATCAATTTTACAGGAGCGAAATTTAAAAAAAAAATTGAACTATGGAAAAATGCATTTCAGACCCTTTTTAACTGTCAACACTGGCTTCCTGACAAAAGAATTCAGTTACGATCTTGTGTGAAGTTATAAAATACATTTTTTTTAATAACATGGTGCGTTTAACTCAATATCGATATTTTGTTAGATACGCCTTTTCGTGATTCGACCCACGTATTAATCAGAAGAACATAGGAGTCCGAAGTTAAGTATCAACCTCCTCCAGTCCTATTGTAGAAAAAATAAATAACTGGAAAAATACTTACTTTTCGTCGAAATCTCCCAGTAAGACCCTATCGTCATCCATATCTTTGATCGTACTTTCGAACGTGTAATCACACTCTTTTGGGGTGATAAACACTCTGTCACCTGAAAATGGGTGACAATGTAATTAAAAGGTTTTTTTGTTTTGTCTTGTTTAAGTCTAATGTGCTGTCGTCTATCGACAGTAGGTAATTACGATACCTTGAATATAGTCCAAGATATCCTATGTCGATAGTTCTCAACATTATTGTCAAGTTATGAAATGAAAGCACTTACCACGCAACAAAGAAGGCCGCTTTTCCGCCAGCCCCGGCACTTGAAGGTAATAACCCTTGTGCTCTTTTTGAAGTTTCACGCTAGACATGTTGTATTTCTAAGGAGAAAAAGGTTTAATTGTTATGCTACTACCCGTTCGCGCTAAGTTTGCCGGTCCGTGGAATGTGCGTCCCCTCCTCCAACCGCGATTAAACGCAATTTGTTAGTGATTTAACGCAATTAAGTGTTTTATTTTACGCAAATACACAATTTTCTTCAATATTAATAAATAAATAATATTTTCAATATAGTTTGCTAAAGTTATAGACGCATTCCTTCGAGTGACGTCATATCGCCAGCGGCAAACTTATCGCGAACGGATAGTACATTTATACTGATATTTCTAAAGTCAATTTAAATACATTTCTTATCGATAATTCGACAACACTGTTTTGATTAGCAATGAAAACGCTGCGTTCCTAAAATTCAATGCACTTTATCAAATTATACCCCTTCCGATCTAAAAGATTGAAAGCTTCTAAAAATGATCAACTTACCCTCAAGTTAATTTTAGAAATAATCTCTTCCCACCACAAAAGATGACGAAAATAGATCATGTAATTGTCTTTTGTAATTCCTTCATCAAAAATAGCTCTGTAAATAAAAACACATTATGGTTATCTGAACTATGTACTTAAAAATATTTATCAGTTGTATTTGTTACTACCCTCGCCCTACATTGAAAGGTACAGACAAATAAATAAACAACTTGCCTTAGGCAGTTTGATTTTATCAAGTTGTTTATTTATAGTTCTAAAAACTCCTTGTTACGTAACAGTCAAAAGTTACGTAAATTTTACGGAAGCAACTCAAAGTGAGAAATAAACGTAGAACCTTAAACATATTTACCTGGTGCTAATAAGAACAAGGCGCAATTGCTCCAGCATTTCGCGAGGCACTTGAAGCCCTTCTAACGCCCTATCTTCGAGACCGCGTGGGAGTAGTATCTTCAAAAGCTTAGGTATTTTATACGTAGTCTCGTATGGCCTGGAAATAATTAATCATTTACATGTGTAAAATATACTTCACAACATAGTATAAAACAAAGTAGCTTTCCGCTGTCTGTCCCTATGTATGCTTAGATATCTTTAAAAGTACGCAACGGATTTTGATGCGGTTTTTTAATTGATAAAGAGTGATTCAAGAGGAAGGTTTATGTTAAATTTGTACCCGTGCAAAGTCGGCGCGGGTCGCTAGTTATGTATAAAATGTTTTTTTTTACTGTATTTACGTCTGCTACACAATAGATTTTAGTTACTTAGTTAGTTAGTTTTGCAGGGCAATCGAATACCGCACTTAGCCTCATGATAGGGCCATTGTGCGCGATTTGTGGTTTATCTTCCTACTCCAACCACCCCAGATCCCCCCAGAAGGCGAGCAGCCCGTCCAGGCTGCTGCAGGCTTCCTGTAGCGACGACGGTGATCGAAGAAATTGAGCCCGTTGTTCTTCCACGCTACTGCACTCCATGAGCACATGCTGCGGTGTTTCCTCCGCCTCCATGCACCCCCTGCATAGTGGGCTGTCTGTGACACCTATATTGTATAGGTGCTTGTTTAGCATACAGTGTCCGGTTATGACACTTAAGACCTTGCGGATGCTGTCCCTGTTTAGTCTGATGAGGCTGCGGGAGAACTTTTTCGATACGTCCGGAACCGCATCTTTTGTTTGCCTGCATCCTTCGCTATTTTTCCATTCTGTGTGGTGTTTTTCTTCTGTTTTGGAACGCAGCCAGTTCCTGATCTGTGCTTGTGGTATCGGCAGTATTGGTTCCGGGCCAAATACTGTTGTGTCCGAACCTCTTTTTGCCAGTTCATCCGCTGCGTCGTTGCCTAAAGAGTTACTGTGCCCTTTGATCCATTGCAGGGTAACTCCATTTACAGCTGCAATGTCTTGGAGCGCTTCATGGCATTCCAATATAAGGGCCGTTGTTATTGTGTTGCTTTTTAGCGCTTGCAGTACAGATGCACTATCCGAGATAATTCTTATGTTTAGACCTCGGATGTCTCTGGCTGTTACTGCCTGTGCTGCTTTGGTAATTCCAATGCATTCTGCTTGGAAAATTGTATTGTGTTTATCTAATGTTGTTGATATTCTTATATTAAGATCATTCGAGAAGACACCAGCTCCTGTACCCGTTTGAGTTTTGGAGCCGTCCGTGTATATCCTAACTTCATTGATTCCAGAGTAATCTCGCGTCTCCGCTGTAAGTTGGATATTATATCTTCGGTCGAAAATGTGTTCACAGGGTATCCTGTCGATGAGTGCCTCAGTGAGAGGTATTTCTTTTATGGTTTTCTGCAGGATCGCAGAGTGTCCTGTCTCCTTGTTTTGCCTCCATAGGCCGTTTCCTTTAAGTCTTAGAGCGGCTGCTTGCGCTTCCTCCTGAATGATTTTAGTTACTTTATGATAAATTACTTTACTGAAGAAAGCACCTTTAAAAAGCACACTAAAGTCTATTTTATAAAGTAAAAATAATTAAAATTTACTTACACATGACTAATCGACTTTATCAATGTTGTTTTTTTAAACTCTTCATTAGTGTAAGGGCTTTTAGACTTTTTGTAAGTCATAGGCCTCTCCTGTACCATCACGACCTGAAAGTACATAAATAAAATATAAATATAACTTAGAAAAGCAAGTGCTATGGGTACCAAACAATGAATAGTGACATCCTAATAAGTATTCAGGGGAATGTAACAGTTTTCAAGTTAAACATATGAGAACCTATTTACACTTTGGGTAAAAATTCTGGGTTTTAGTACAATCTGGTATCAATCCTCACAAAAAAAAAATATGACAGTGGTACATACCATTTCCCTTACGAAAATTAGGTTTTTACCATCCCTAGTTCTAAGGAATGTAAACATTATAGGCATTTCATATTGTCCAATATCAATAGCTTGAAAGGAGATGGAGATTTCTTCTTTAATTGATGATTCTGAAAAACATAAAATCGTTTAGTAATACTTCTAAGTTGTTGATATCTAATGATTTAATTAAATGTAGTATTGCAATAATTTGTACTCCCCAGCAGGTATACATACTACAAAATGGTCAAATTTTATCCAGTGAATTACGAATTTTGAAAACAATTGAGAAACACATTTTAGGGAAGGTAGATGTACTGTTTGAAATTCAAAAAGTTGACCAATCATACTATAAAAGTAAAATAAAAGATTATACTTTTATCTAAGATGTGAGGGTCTTCTCCAAAAACATAAGGATGGTCGTTCATTTTGAATTGCGGCTGTGGATGGCCTAGTTGAAATCCAACTACAAGAAAATCATCATTTCTCGTTTCATTGCTGATACTAAATATGAATTTCACATTTTGCTGAGGTTTTACCTGAAAAAACAAAAGAAATCAATATGCTTCAATTGCATCTAATGATGTTATGAGAGATAAGATAAATAAGTACAAAACATTGTTTTCGAGTAAGTTTTATGTTTATCATGCTCAAGATTCATTCCTATCTGCTGATAACTGGCTATTCTGTATGCAGGTTCTAACTTGTACCCAGTTTATCACTTCTCAAGCACATGAGTAATAAGTCTCAATGAAGTTAAGAATGTTTAGTAAAATAAAAATAGTGAAAGCATAAAATGTTCTCATATAAAAAAAACATACCGAATTGAGAACCTCCTCCTTTTGTTGAAGTCGGTTAAAAAGAGATATTCAAAGAACAAGTTAATGTTTTACATCTTTATTGAATAGGTATTCTGTCAGTAAATTTTTGTACATTTGAATGTATCTCAAAAAACATGTATGGTATTTTACTTACATCAATCCGGATTTTATGATGGTCAGTGTAATCAACCGTAACACTTTTGTGTTCATTGGTTTCCTCAGAAACCGCTTTACCCAGAATAACTACACCTTCTTTGTTTTTACTGAAGGACCGCCTAGAATAAAAAATATTATTTGAAATGAATATTAATATTTGTATTGGATCCTAATTTATCATTAGGCTATTTATTATGTTGTGTAAATAAATAATATGTATTAGTACTGTCAGAAGATTATAATTTAGGGCGTAAGAATTAAGATACCAATAATCTACTACCCAATATAGAAATTTTACAAAATTGAATATGTTATCCCTTTTAGAGTTCTTATTTCGTTAAGGTTTTTTGTAGAGCATATCGTTAACCCTTGCTAGGTGGTATCTAGCTTATCTTACTTTACTCCGGGAATGGCATTATTGTTGTACTACGGCCTGCATGTTATTTTTATAAACAGGCCTTTATTTTATCAAAACATAAAGCTAAGTGCTATAACTAAACATTTAAAACAGAGCAAAGAAATACTTACTTATTGTTATTGTAATTAGCCAGTATCAAGTTGCACAAATGCTTCGGCGTGTCTGTATGGAACACTTCAGCATTTTCATCATAATGTTCATCCACATTGCCACATACTTCACAAAACATTTTGATTCTGTAAAAAAATTGTACGGGCTACTATAATACACTTTTATTTTAATAAGATTACAAATAATTTAGACAGTTAGTGCATTGTATACTAAAACATGTGATTAAAAGCTGAGCTAAACAGGATGCGGTTTTTGCTTGAGTCAGCCACATTTTAGGTATCATTTTACATCAATAATGATGTTAGCCATTTTAGTAACAAAAACCAACCATCAATTAACATCATGCTCACAAATACTAATTTATTTTTAGAATTAATGATCTAAATAGCTAGCATTAAATCTAGATAATACGAGTACGAGGCACATTAACATTTACAGATAAAATTTTTTGAGTCATCAACTTTTTGAGGATTTTTAAAATGCAATAAAAACACTTGTAATTGCCCAAGTCTCTGAGGCACTCTTGCACAGTAGATTAAAACAAAGTAGATAACAAAGTAGGAAGGTATACATATTTACATAGTAATAATATTCTTACTTGTAATTAATATTCCAGTAACAAAGTGGGTTTCTTTGTCCGTCCGGCCTCGGCTGTTGATAAGGTTTTCGTTTCAACAGGTATCAACTTCAAAAGTTACTGACAAACTGCTGATTTGACAGACAAGTTAGGCAAGGCAACGACTTTTTTGAGGGTCGACGAGTGACGAGTTAAGAAAAAATATTTTACAGAACACAAAGAGATAAACTGCTTTTCACTTCAAGGTCCATTTCTAAGTGAGTTTTAAATTGAAAATCTACTAATTTATGTTCCGCAACATTTGCAAAGTAAATGGAAAAAAAATCCCAAACATAAACAATTTTTATTTGTTCTGTATTTGCTCTGTGATTTCATGGCTTAGGGACACAGTGATTACAGACAAAGGAAAAGGTGGCGCTAGCGTAGTTGTATCTTTCAATATTTCTAAGATTCTGATGATGAATTTGTTCATTTGAGCATATAAAAGTTACCTAAACTAATATTAAATAATAGATTCATCACTTTCATAAGTTTTACCATAGTTTCTACTCTAAAAATACTACGATTGAACTTATTTACTTTATTAATTCTCCAATAGCGTTAAGGATCTTGTGTTGTGTCTCAGAAAAGGAAGTAGATTAATATAGGAAATAAATAAGTAACAAAAGGTTTAAATGCATTTATTCATATTTCTTATAAATCACTCTTGGTTTTTACTTATCTACCTACACTCGTAGTACTAGGTAGGGACCTACTTGAGATCAATAAAATTTTAATGTTATTTAAGAATAAATAAAATTTACAGGCTTATTACTTATCAAATACGTATGTAAATAAATATTTAATTCTAAATAATTACTAATAAATTAATTGTTATTCTGAGGAATGGTAGGTAAAATAAACATTAAAATGAGATCAACGCAACTTAAGAATCTAATAATATCACAGCAATAACTTATCTAACAAAGGAAGTAAGCAACTATTATTATTTGTATAACTATTAAAGCCTAAGCAAGAAAATAATTCAATACATGTAAATCTTGGATGTAAAAATAAATCTAATGAGACCAAGTATTCAGTCGCGGCCATGGTCTTTGTCAACGTGTTAATGCGAATCGATTTTTAAAAAGTCTAGTGTTAACGGATTTACGCAGCGCGCCGTGCTCGCAGCGGGTACCGCCTGTTTGGGTTGAGTAGCCACTGGGTTTTGCTGTCCACGTTGTATTCCAGTCCAGTGCATACGCCGAGGTATTTGTTGCAGTAGTATCCGGGGGCGCACTTCTGTCCGTAGACATCGAAGTCCATCTTTTCGGTACACTGTTCCCGGGGTCCCTGATAATCAGAAAATTTGGGTTCTTATTTTTTTTACTGCACAAATTACTAATAGTCCCATTAGCCCCTCGTAGGTACTAAGCTAAATATGCTTCTGTTACGAGTGAGCTCTACCACAATAGTCGAGCGACGTGGCGGGGTTCGAACCCGCGTTCCTCGGATGTCGAGTCGGCCAGTCCAACCCAAAGTTCGGACTTCGGCTATCGTGGCTTCAAAATTACCGATTACAAAACTTAATTTTAGCACTTCTTACCCTGTAGCAGTCAAGTCGGTTGTCGCACACTTCATTGACGTAGGTGCCTCGTGGGCACCTCTTGTACCTCTTGTTGCCTCTCATGATGGGGCACACCTCGTTGCTAGGCAGCCACTCGCCATTTCTTGCTCCCAAGCACACGGGACATTCCACTAGCTCACTGCCAAAACATAAAAAATAAAGGCTTATCCGGTGTACCTAACTAGCACAAAAGAAGTAGTAGGTAAGTTAACTTTGAAGTTAAGTAATTCCTGAAATGTGTGCCCAAGGATTTTTCACAAGCTTTTATGGCATTGTTTTGTATCTAACCTACTACCTATAGTTTTGTAATGGAATAGGTAAGTAGTAAGGTGTTGAGATAGCTAGAGCCGGTGAACTGTAGAAAGTCCCTAATTACTTACATGATAAAGAGAAATCACCGATAATAGAGCAGAAACTTATCTACTTTATTATCTTCATATCAATACTTTTTCAAAACATTCCGGGGAAGTTTTGTACTTCTCCTATGACTTACCCGCCCATTTCATCTTGTGGTTCTTCTCTAACGATTAGATTCCGAGAGTCGTACCCACCGTAGTACGCCAGACAAGTGCTCGTGGCCAGAACGAAGAAAACCAAGGTGTGCATATTGGCGGAGTGCTGCAAGTTAAAAGTATGACTTATGAAAGAGAACTTCTTTCTCACCATTTTAGATCAGCTTCAGCAATCATAAAGGTAACAGGTAGGTGCTGGACGTAGGCCGCTACCAACCGGGCAGCATGAAAAGCATTGGGGGAGGCCTATGCAGCAGTGGACGTCCTATGGCTGAGATGATGATGATGATTATAGATGGCCGGTGATCATGCTACTGTTAAGATTTATATAAACTACGCTACGGAGTCACAACAAGGTATGGATACCTATTTACCTAACTATTATGAGTTTCCTACCGAAAAAAGCGTACAACTTTCATAATAAAAGGCAGGTGCGCAATGGTGATCGTACATCTAGGCTGTTTGCCTCTTCATAAATATTGAAAATTATCCTGAAAAATAGTAACTCTACATTTTTTTCGTATTCTATGAATTATTTTTCGTATTCTATTAATAAATATCTAAAAATAGGACGAAATGAATCGAGATCAGAGTTACATTAATGTTTTTGTAAGCAGTGACTCAGAAACCGAGTAACTGAAAATTTTCGTGGGAAACACATTTATGTATCGTGGTGATGCTAAAAATAATTCGCATCATGACCATAATTATAAATCAATAATGTTTTAAACATACATATGCCTAATGCTAGAATCTTGTCCGTATCCAAATCCACTTTAAACCTTATCAGTGAACGTCCATGACCATTTACCGATTTATGTTGCTCTACCTATACCTACAGGTTAGTAAATCGGTAATGAATGAACGCTCATTTTCATCATTTTCTTCAGTGAGATTGTGTTGATTAGCCGTTAAAAGCTATGTTTGTTCAGCGTGGTCGATCTATGAATGAAACGGCCTCACGTGATGTTGTCACGAGTGGAGACTCGTTTAAAAAAGTCACGTAGTTAGGTATTCTCTAATTCCTACCCACTCGCCTTGAAGAGGAAGCAGGAAAACCAATCCACTCTGTGAAATGAAAGACTTTTCAACGGTAAGGAAGGTAAAGTAGGTAAATGAAATAAAAATATTTGTTAAATTACTATGATTTGTTCAAATGAACTAAACGAAATTGTATTCCTCAAAATACATCAATATTCTTTGTTTTTTGTTTTTATTATCAGCCTTTAATGTTTACGTAGACTGGGCATTTTGTGCGCACTGAATCATAATTAAATAAATAAGTGTCCATCCCACGAGTCACTGACATGGAATTGAATTTAAAAATAATGCGTCAATGCTATGTGGGCTGAAGGTGGAACTCTCACTGTGTTGTATTTATCTCTTTATTCGCTAATCATTGCTGCAATTTTTTGGCACGCTAATTCCGAGATCTATCGTAAGCATCATTGTATGCTGAAATAAATGAATTTGTGCGCGTATGAACTGAATCATGGTAGCATTGTGTTTGCGTACGCGCCGCCCGCCCAGACGCCCGCGGGCGGGCGCGCATTCATGTCAAACGCTTCATGAAACTCGGAGGTGTTCCCACTGAAACTTCTTCGGTTTTTAGTTACAAAATATTTTGAAAGTGCTTTAGTGTGTTTTTCACGTTTTGCTGGAACATTAAATTTTTGCTAAAATTTTAAAATGGGTATGATTTCAAGAGTGCGCGGTCGTATCAGGAGTGATTCTTTCTCGAAGATTCCGCCTATGAAATCGGAGGATAAAATCGCAAATATTGGTATGTGAATATCAACAGTTTTATAGGAATTTATTCTAACTTTAAATGTTAATAATTAATGTTTGTTTTAATAAACTCTACTCTTTACGCTTTAACATTGTAATAAAAAGTTTATTTTTGTATTTTATTTGCGCGTTATTATTGTTTTGATATGGTTTGTTTATCAAATGATTAGATTATGCGCCATTTCTCTACCGAGTGTAAATAGATTCATAATATTATTAAGTTTGGAGAGATTATTCGAAAAAATATCTTGGCAACAATTTTTTCATAGCTTTCATTGGCGGCAAATGCTTTAGGAATTCATATCATCCAATATCATCGCATCAACAAAGCAAAATGAGATCAAGGGCAGAGAAATAGAGTCTTAAAATAAATAGCATATTCAAGGAGATTACGTGTAAGAAAACACGCATAGGTATTTTAGAGTTAGATATTTTACTTTAGCTCTCCTAATAGTGTTTTTATTGAAAACATTGAAGAGACTAAATAAAACAGATCAACTTATTTTGAAGTTCATAAATGATAATATTATTGCCTCTTATATAAATGTAAACTTACAATACTTAGTCAGTTTAAGCTTTTCAAGCTCAAAGTGCGAATTCAATTTGTAACCAAAACGTAGAGTCAGAGACCATAGTCTCTTTCTCACTAGCTTTCCTATTGACAGAGTCCTTAATCTTATAAAATATGTTTTTCAATGCATAAAGTTGAATACCCATCAGCCGCTATGGGTCATATGTTGGGGCTCGCCCTGCCAAAAGTGCTAGGGCTACCCACTAAAAACCTGACGGTGTCCTCCATGAGCCTTATGAGTCAGCCTCTAGCATTCGATCCCAGCACGGCATTTGGCCTCATTCAGCCCCAAAGAAAATTCAAATTCTATCCGTAATAACCATAAGCTCGTTTTCAGTATGGCTCCTATCTCTGGTGCTGTTGCTGCCATATTGGGCGCCGCGGGGGCTTTTCGTGGCGCTGGGCGGCGCTTGGCTGATGGCAGCCTACACCTGCCTCGTGGTACCTGTGCTCATCTCTGCCAACTACAAGTACCCCGCGAGGTGGTACCCGGCTGTCGTTAAGTTCGCGCAAGGTAACTAACTTAACTTTAACTCAATGAAACTTTAACTACGAGTAAAGTCACAAAACATAGAGAGACGATCTTGTTTCTGGTGCGTCTAATAACAATTTTAGTTAATAAGAGTCCTGAAGTCTCTATTGGTGATTACCCATGGGCTAATGGAATAAGTTCAAGCTAAAAGTTCAGGATACAAGAACGATAGTTGTGCTCAACCGTAGGTTTTAGCTTTCAGTATGAAAATGTATTTTCGCTGAAAAATTAATGATTGCCATTCATACTTTAGGTATTATAATATTACTCGTAGATAGGAAAGAACAAGTGGCGAAGTTTTTAGTAATGTACACAGTACAACAAAGCGGAAATTATTGCACAATGTTTGAATCTGAAATATTTAAGCGTCATGCTATGCTTGTTGTTGGTAAATTTTTAATAATAGGCTCGCTTTGAACCGATGAAAACAGACTCTGGTCTCAGGAACATTTGGCATAAACATTGGGGTGTGCCAACTCCCCGACCTATGCTCCGCCTACGCGTTAGAAAAGATTTTTCTATTCCGTCATAGGTAACATAACTAACTAAACAAACAATGTATAGCAAGCAATCAACAATCCCCTCTCTACAAAAGCGATTGTGATAACTACACAAAAATAATTAAAAGTCATTAACACGGTATCCTATTGAAAGCCAAAACTTGTAACAAGGAAAATTTATTGAACATTGTTAAACTTGTCTTATCTTCAACTTTCAGTAAGTATAATTATTTAACGTATGTTTGAAAAAGTTGTTGATAATATTTTCATGTCCAACTGTGGTCCTTCGAGCCAGATATTTTAAAGAATCTTTAATAAAAATGTATCCAGGCGTTTGAAAACATATGTCTTAAAGTTTTTTGGATTTATTTACCGCGATTGTTTTTGCGTTAGCACTGAATATAGTTAGAACTTATTTAGAAAGACGATAGTCGCGCATAGTTTTGTATGAAAATCATACGAGTCCGAGGTTGGCGCGTGGCTACCGACCGTACTTTGTTTATCTTAAAATAACTACCTATATTATGGTTGTATGGAAGTCAGGTCATTGTCGAAGCGGAGCTGAATGGGCTCCGCCGGAAGCTGGCCCGCAGCCAGCGCGCGTGCGTCAAACACTTTCTTTTCTGCGTCTGACCAACACATGGGATCTCACACCTCCAGGGTATTTTTGTTTTGTTGTCGATCAACAATTTCTTGAAAAACAACACACGAACACTACGACCGAATAGATCATAATATTAGATCTGATTCAAAGAGTGTGCAATATGCTATTTTTGTACTTTCAGCAAGTGGATCACTCTTGATCTCTACATTTTTATTAACACGTTGAGTGCGAAACCAGGTCTATAGACCTTGTGTACGTCTCGCTTACCGTGCGGCTAAGAAAATTATAGTCTTCCTTGTCGTGCGAAAGGCATAACTTCAATTGGGTCCGGTGTAGGAAAATGATGAATATATATCTATGATGTATTCTTAAAATAGAATCCAATGATGTACCTACCTTAATACCAGGTTTTTAGACCTGGTACCGCACGGAAGTAATAAAATGTCTTCACAATGCGAAACCAGGTCGAAGCACCTTGTACCCTGCGCACCTGGTACCGCACCCCACGCTAGCTTCGTGCAGCCAGTGTTGCCTCGCATTCGTAAGAAACGCACATGTCGACATGGCGTCAAGAGAAACAAACAAAATAAAATTGCAAATTGATTATAATTTAATTTGCTACACGATTTATTGCTAATTTAAATAATGTTTTTCGTGACAAACATTTGAAGTTGTAACTAAATGTTATTAAATAATATGTTTTCTTTAAATATAGCTTATTTAAGTATTTATGCACGTATGTCTTATTTGTAAAATATTTAGACTAAATTATTAAAACATCTTTGTTTGTTACTTTTTTAAATTTTTATTAAAACTTAATTTAAACTATCGATATTTGTATTTCACATCCCTAGAATACCCACCAGACTTCCCTACTTCAGTGCGGCACAGGGTGCATAAGCCTTGTATTTTGAATATAGCTATAATTTTTATACTAAACAAGTTATTCACGAACGCCTTCAGGTGTATGTCAATAAATTCATTATTATTAATATTCAAAGAAAAAAAACACTATATCTATTAACATGAAGCCAAAAATAAAATTAATATATCTTAAATATTACAAGGTCTTTAAGCCTTGTGCCGCCACAATGTAAGTTTTAATACCAGGTTTACTGACCTTGTACCGAAGGAATGGAAAGTATTAGAAAGTTACTGCCGCAGCAAAGGTGTTAATTACCAAACTAGGTACATTAATAGATACCTCTGATTTGATTCTGACTAAGCGTTTCATACATTTTAGTAATTATAATACGAACTTCGATAAATCATTTGATTTTACGATGTTTGTATAAAGAAAATGTTTATCCTCCGAAAAAATATTACCTACCGCCCATCTAGAGTCTTTACTGACTTTATTGGTGTGGATAAAAATAATGCTTTCTGCGCATTAATGTTTGTTTACGATGTACTGAAATCAACACATCGACACCATAAAGACCATAATGACGAAAGCAAAAGCTTTTCCAGTTATTTTCGAAGCAAAAATACTGCGTACAGTCGTTTGTTGATTTTAGAACTGATTTGCTGCAAGCTCGGACTGTAATAAAAGCTTACGCAGTTTATAATCTTAAGATATACACACCCATGGTTAAAATACAGTTTCTGAACTGTAATAATTCACAATAATTTAAGTGGTTCCCATTGAAAACCAGCTTCTCGACATGACGTTTGTGTTATATTATCGCGATTATTGCAGAGCGGGCGCCTCTTAAGCATAGCTTCTAAATTTTTATAATGCTTTAAGTAGTGTATTCTTTATAATATGCTGAATAAAGTGTTCTTATTCTTATTTTATTAGGTACATTAACATAGGTACTAGGAATAACAAGTTTTACTGAATAATATTGATAACTAGATGAGTATACTTACTTGGGTAGAGCCAGATAATGTCTTCTGGTGGCTGGTGAGTGCTGAACTGACTACCCTTTGAGCAGGGTGGCCTTTTTATACTACATTTCTTAGAACAAAAATTGTCTAGGCTTTGACAGCTAAGCGAAGATGACCAGGGCTATCCAATGTAGAACCAATAAAGTTATTTAACTAAAACAGTAAAATGTATAATCTCTGTTTTCATGTTTTTTTTTTACATTTGCAGCAGCTGTAGGTCTGTTGTCTGCATGGTCAATAGGTAATTGTATTTAAAAATTGTCGGGTTTTATTATTTTAAAAACGGCCATGAATATGTTACATTCTCGACAATTTTGCATCATCTTTTTATTATTAATTCTAGCCTATATGTTAATCTGGGTTACAAATAATAATACTGTAAAGTTTTAACTAAATCCGTTAAGTAGTTTTTGCGTTAAAGAGTAACAAACATCCACACAAACTCTCATCTTTATAATATTAGTAGGATAAACTCTGGCACTAATATATCGTCGCTTGCCTCTCTAACTGACGTATCTGAATTTTTTTTCGAAACTGAGTTATCTACACCATCTTAATCAATTTTACAAGACGAATCGATCGATCGATAATGTCAGTTACGTCAGTTAGAGAGGCAAGCGACGTTATGGACAAAATTGGGGAATGATTATTAACTAACGAACGAACGAATAGTGACTGAGTTTCTTGCGCTGCTTCTTCTCAGCACTGGCCCATTTATTGTCCCGAAGCAGTGGTAGGGTTAATATTGGGACGTGTAAAAGTGCTTTTTAAAAGCCTACTTATTTGCAAAAATAAATGAGTTTTATGAGTTTTTTAACGACATTAATAAGATTAACTTAATACGAGGAGGCTTGTTTTACTGGCTACTTTATGGAAGAACCATCCATGTCATTTTCACTTGAAATATAAAAAATATACTATGCAAATGAGATAAGTCTGTGAATCGGAAAATGAAACCAAGTGGACAACAAGATGTGACAACCCCTTGACCATCACAGTCTGAATTTATGTTGCTATCCCTAAATTGTAGAGCAAATTGATGGAAACTCTTAAAACATTTAACCATTCTATTATTTTATCTTCTATAGGTTTTATTTTATCATTTGGAACAAATTAAATAATACAATAGTGCAAAACATAAACAAGAGAATGTAACTAAGTCTGCAATTAGTGATAGAAATCAGATTTTTAATATAGACGTACCTACTACGTACGTAATATATCTTAATGCTACCTAATTCTAAGATGACATATAAGTTACAAACGTATGCTTTGACTCCACTATGTATGATGGTCTTATTTTATTTTATGCTTAAAGCACTTTTCAACCAACATTTGAAATCAAAATCATCATAGTTGTTTTAATAAAGTACTCTGTGGTTGTGTTTTTAAGTAATATTCAACTACTTAAAGCGTCTTGGTTTTCTTTCAGAGACCGCGAGGAGGCTCCGAGCGCCCTTTGCGTGCGTCCTCGGTGTGCTGAAAACTGTGTACGCGCCGCTCGAGCGCGCAGAGCGCGTGTTTCTGCAGATGAACAACCTCTCTACTATGGTTTGTCAGGTATAATTATTTATTTTTGTACAAATGAAGAGCTAGAATATATAAAAGTATAGCAACGAAAGTTCACTAACTCTTTTATTACAGTTGCTGATCTTCACAGCATGCGACAGGCTGTTCGTTTCCAAGGGCAAACTCACCTCCCTCTACTCTCTCATGTTCTACAACGTCATCACGTACTCCGTGAGTTACGTGCGCGAGATCTGCACCAAGGAGGACTGGTCGCCGTACGTCAACGTCACGCGCCACTCTCGCGTCAAGCACCTCGCCATGTCCGCCACCAAGATCGTGCTGGAATGGACCAAAGCGGTCACCTTCATCGTCACCATCACCTTCATTCTGCTCACCCTCGGCTTGGAACAGGGCCTCGAGCACTACAGCCCCACCTTCTTGTACACCGCAATCACGGGAATATACTACCTGCTTTCGGAGAGGACGTTCCTCGAGCTGTGGCCGATTGGGCTCACCGCTATGAAGTTTGAGAGATTAGAAGGCATGGAGGTGATGTACTTCGGGGTGTGGGCGCGGGGGATAACTACAGCGTTAGCGGTGCCGCTGGTGCCGGCGCTGGCGTGGTGCGAGCGCTGGCGACTGGCCGCGCTAGTGATGTACTTCTGCGTGTTCGTGCACGGGAGACACCGGCTGGGGGAAGCGCTGGTGAAGTTGAGCGAGGCACGCGGCTCGCTGGCGCGGTTCCGTCGCGCGACGCAGGAGGAGCTGGCCACGCTGGAAGACGTGTGCGCCGTGTGCCTGGCCGGCATGCAATCGGCACGCGTCACTCCCTGCGCGCACTTCTTCCACGCCGACTGCCTGAGGAGGTGCCTGGCCGCCTCCGACAGATGCCCCATCTGCGTCAGGCCTTACGTATTCTGCTGATCGACGGCTCCACTTTAAACGGATAAGACTGCTTCTAAGGGCTGCTTTGCAGGTATTCTGAGACGTATTCCGAACCATCTTTCGAGCGAACGAGATATTGTGGACTGTGAATTTGAATTTAGTGGAATACCTACTCTTACATAATAAGATACTAATTTAGTATTAAAAGTTAGGTTACTAAGTAAGTATGTAGTATTATTATATGAGTTAATTGACGTTTTTTTAATTACATTCGCTTGTCGTCAATGTATTCGTTGTAGATCATGCTTTATCTAAAAGGCTGAGTGGATTCACAGAACAGCAACCGTTTTGTGATAATGTTAACACTAGATAATATTTTCGAAATAATATTAAAAGATTTATTATTGTTAAAATATGTATCTAATTTGGAAATCAAATAATTACCTACTGTGAAAGTAAGTTTTGGCCTATCATGGATATTTTATTATGTTATTTTGAGCTAAAACATTATATGATAGCATAGATATAGATTATAAACATAATGTTATTTGTTCTGCCTTTGTTCATATTATGAAATAATATAAACCTACTAGGTTTTTACTCCGTAATAAAACATGGCTGTAATAACTTTTAATCCACCCACATTTTCACTGGGTCCAAATATTATGTGTAATTTTATATGAAAATAAAATTCATTTTTATTTAAAAATTACGTTTTTATTTTGAAATTGTATCACTTATTCACTGCAGTATTGCGGGTTTATTATATGAAATTAAAAACGTTTCTATTTCTATTCTATTTTTAGTAAGCTAAATTACCGCTTCCATCAGCGCCATCTCTCCCTTCAGGGTGCTTCAGGCGTAGTCCCTTCTAAGCGTTCCTCAGTGCTCCTGGATCTGTAATACCTAAATCTAAAAACCACGAAGCTTAGTAACCGGGCCAAACTAGAAGTTAGTATAATATAAAAAAATCTGTCTTCACTGTCCTTTTGTAAGTTTCGTAAAGCTCGTAGTAAAGTTGATAGAGAGAGATGCTTATAAAAGCTCCGAGTGGTTCCTTCAAAATTAAAATATGTATCAGAGTTTAAAACTTATATTATAATCTATCTCTACATACGTGTTCTTTTTGCGTTTATAGTAGCTAAATATTTTCTACGCCATGAAATCGAAAGCCCGCTAAAACCAAATGGAAATAGCAAGATGGCGGCGGCGTTACCATGACATCATGCGGTTACGTCACGTAAACAAAACCGCGGAAAGCTCAAAGCTGCGATAGAGACGGCTCTACTCTATACCCATCTTTGTTCTTTCTATGGAATTATAGCGTGTTTTCCTTCTGTCTCATTCTAGCACGCCAATTTTCCTACCGCACAGAGTCCGAATTAAAATGCGCGGACCGAAATTGTATCCGAGGTGGATCAGTCATCGCGACAAGCGTTGTGGAATAGACGTGCGGTGTTATCAAACATTACTTTCCTTGTGTGTACAGCAAAAAATTGAATGTTATCAATGAAAATGTGAATGGTTACCAGTAGTTAGGCGATATCTATGCCACGATATTCAACTGGATACTAATTTGTTATATAAAAGGTACGTCTAATTATGTTACATGTACCTACTTAACGTAAATTCCGGTTATTTTTTATTGCGTCTTAAAAATCAGCATCCTACAAAATACAATAAGCATTTTTGAGCTTCAATGTTCTCTACAAATCGATGTTTAGGTCTAAGGCCACCAGCTATTTGAAATGTAGAGTTTGGTAAGCTACTAAGGTAGGTGAGTTGCAGCTCACACGACATAAGAAGAAGGAGAAGAATAGATTAATTTACGCAGGATGTTCCAGGCAGTAAAAATGCTGAAAATTGTTCAAAAACTAAGTATTTCAACATGAGGTCTAAAGACGCGGGCAAAACTATTTTATATGAGGAAGTTAATTCAATTGGTTGTAATTGGCTACAGACAGATATTTTTAGGAAGTAGGTGCAGGTACTTAGAGTCTGTGCTGTGGCTATTATTTATTTTTGTTATTATAATTATTGCGTTTCATCCCTGTGTCGCTTTCACACCGAACCTATTTTGATGAAATTTTGGATAATTATGAAAGGGACATAAGTATGACAATCTTTATCCCAGTTCTTGACAGAAAAAAATTCACGCGCGGAAAGCTAGTAGACTTATAATGAAATAATACGCAGTATTAACTAACACTCCTGCGAATCCTTAAAATGTTGACCCGTCGCGACGGCTCCTGGCTTGGCGTTTTTCCAGCCAGCAAAACCTTTGACATACGCATGCTGAAATGTTGACCTCTTTTCAAGTTTACTTTGTAAAGAACATCCTATAGAATGAAATAGAGACTTACAACTACTTGTTCGAAATAGTCCAAATAGAGAGAGCGCAGTGGCGATAGTGCTAGGGATAGACCAGGTATTTTCAAAAGGTAAATCCATTACGTGGGATTTCGGTATATTTCTTCCACAAAAATGTAATGACCTCGTAATAACTTTAGTTACTTCGTCGTTCAATCAGCCTAGGTATACCTAATCACAGTAGCTGATTGAACGTCGAAGTTAGACATATTTTGACTAAATAAATGATCAATCAGCTATAAATTTTATCTTGCTGCCTGGTTTATTTTGTGGCCAGGCTGTTCGTCCTTGGTTCGATATCCTCTCGACCTCGGATCGCCGCCTCTGCGGGCGCCGCTTGACCTTCCTTGCCTGCCGATTTATTACCATCTGTAACTAATGCAAGTATATGTCTTTAAAAGTCTACCTCTATCATACAGTCCTCGCTTTTTACGTAATAAATGATTACTTACTAGATAAAAGTCAAAAGCACTTTGGCTGTGTTGGTCATCGTAGATTACATGATTTCTCTGGGTTCGTCTGAACTTTTCAGGACTTTCCAACTTTTCATTATAAAAAGTTATGGAAAATGCAAACTGAAGAGTTCATAAAAATATTGCTAGTAATAAGTACTAGGGATATTTTTTTAAATATTAAAATTAAATGCCGAACCATGGAAAGACTTCCCGTGACTACTATATATTTTTTAACATTGTTGTGACTAATAACATAACTTTTATCCTGTATGTTAAATGTTATTTTCCTGTTGTAATTTACTCATGTCGTAATAATTAATGATACGTTTTATCTCTAGGTACTCTAGGGGACGATTTTTAATAAGCGGGACCTATGGTGGTATAAAAAATAATAAATTCAGTCATAATGGACCACGATTAAAAAGCATGGCAATCAAGCTATCTTAACTTGTGATTTACATAGATGTCGCATAGTTAAACGTAAAACAACTCACTGTTAAAAGTGGAATCCCGAAATCATTGTTAACGTGTTCAAAGTACAAAATACATGCTTCAATGCAACCAGAACCGACTGCTAAACAATGCATACACAAGTAGGATTTATTCAACACGCGGTCGCGTTCGACTATAAAAAGCGAATATAAAATGAGCGCCTTACGTCATCGCTAACGAGATTACGTCTCATGATACAAGTAGCTAATCGACCCGTCTCTATCCGATGATAAATAAATGCATTGATAGTTTTGATAGTAACAATAACACAAGAATTCATTTTCATGTCTGATGCAGTGCCTTATCTTTGGTGATTGCTATCGAAATGTGATAACAGTGTAGAATATGTCAACAGTAAAGTATCACTGCATTGCTTTTGGTTTGTTAGATGATACACACTTTACTGTAAGTGCACACTAAAGAAAACGAATAAATTACACAAAAAACAGCACAGTTTAGGCGGTCTTATCAAAATAAAGCGATCTCTTCCAGACAACCTCGAGAACAGTTATTTAAAAGGTAAAAGTTAGCTATCAGAAACGTATTTGTAATATATTTTTCAAATATTCTCAGGTAGTTAGTTACTTCGTTCGTTTCAGCCAAATTACGTCCACTGCTTAGCTAGACAAAGGTCCCGAAATCACCCTGTATATCTGAGTATTCAAAATTAGGGCTAATAGTGGTGGTGGTGGTTGCTTAGGTAAAAGTGAAGGCATATAAAATTAGATTTTTGGCAGTCAGCCAGGATCCAAGCTAATGTAAATCAAATATTCACAAATCGGAACACGCAAAGAGGACGTTTACTACACCTGTAACTGCTAATATCTTTAACACTTTCAGAACTTCATTCTTAAAAGAGACCCTCATAAAACAAAAAATATCCAAATTTTCCTGCTTTGAGAATAATTTAGCTCTTGCTTCAGGACAACATATCTTGACACTAGACAAAAAATATTACACTCATGGCCTTCAAAGATGTAGGCTCGTCCTCACAGGCCGTCATTTGTCGCAATCGTAAATGATGTCAATAAATAGGTACATAATTACATCAGTGCTATGATGTCATTTTCAGAAACGGTCGTCAAATAGTTTGTTGCCGTTCTATTCCGTATTATGTGATGTTAAAGTTCCAATTGAGCGGAACTCTCATTCATACTTGTAGTTACGTCGCATCGTCCATTTGCATTTTTTAGTTAAAAAAACTAAAGTAGGTATGTAACTAATATTCATCCTAAATCTGAAAAGGATACGCGGCACCACATTGATAGAGTCAGTCAGTAAGTACCTATACTTTTGTGAATGCATGAAATATTTAAAAACCATAAAATGTATTATAATTTGGTCTTTGCTTTTTTAATTCCATAAGTTTTCTGAATTAATCCAAGGCCTCGAAGCATGACTTTAAATTAAACGCTTAGTTGATTCATAAAACACCTACCTAACGGTTTGGGTTTCGCACGTAGTTAACATTCTCGACAGTGGAACTGAGTTATTTTGATGTAAAAGGGTGTATAAATAGCACCCCAAGTTTAACGATTAATGTGCGTACGCATTATCCGAATTATTCAGAGCCTCTTGGGCATTCAGCCACGCACTTGTCGGTAATCAATATCGAGAGACTCCTGTGAACGACCTTCCTGTACTTGCCCCAGTTTCGTGGTATTGTTATTTCTGTAATAAATATATTTCATCTACCAATGCCAATCAGCCTAGCCCCCAATGGATAGTAATTTATGATGGTTAGGAAGCGGCCACACGAATGCAAAGTAGGTAGGTACTTCTGCCTACTCTAGAAAGACAATTCACAAGTAAAGACTTTACCCCTGGTGCTAAAACAAATATGGATTTTATTTATTTAAGATAAAAACAGATTCACTTAAAGTGACATTATTCTTATCGTTAATTGCTTTTAACTTACAAAAATAATTATTACTACTACTGCAACGGGGCGTCTAAGCTAGCTCAGTCTGACACCCCGCTGTTTAGTACTAAGTCCCAGTTCGCCTTCTGCGATGAGGGATGTGTACCTATCCAGGATGCCTACAGGGATATTTGACCAAGGAAACGCACAATCAATAACACAATGGCACTTATAATTCAGGTTCCACAATGGTTCACTTATTCTAGTTTCACTGACTCTAAATCGCTATCGTTTAATAATGAGCAAGTTTACGAGTACCTTACAAGTTGTATCACAATTTACTAATTACAACAAGAGGAATAATGACGCGCCCGGTTCGCGTCCCGTTAGCTAGCTTTCGTATCCGCGAGAGGGGCGGCGCCCTGTGCGAGGTTTATCGAGTGTTAGTCTGGATACTTATAACTAGGGGGGCAGGATGTGGTTCGTTAGCTCAAGCCAGAGACCGAAGCCTCGATAGTGAGTACGACCACTAGGGAAAGGCGTTGGACCTACGAGGTGAGGGGGTGTGAAGTTTAGGAAGGGTGGCAGCAGGATTGCTACCGCAGGTTCGGGATGAGTATCTCATGCACTACTCGGTAAGGACGAGAACCGGTTGGCTATCAACGATAGAACGTAGTGGGACTGAAGCGAGTTCAACTCACGTCGACGTTGGAAGACAGCATGAACCGCTTGGTGGCTTGCGTCTGTACCGGCGCGTCTTGCACATTGTTGGCGGGCGTTGTGTCGTCCCATCCCACTGCTGGGCTGCGACTCGAGACCTGTCTCGAGTGGGACTGAAGCGAGTTCAACTCACGTCGACGTTGGAAGACAGCATGAACCGCTTGGTGGCTTGCGTCTGTACCGGCGCGTCTTGCACATTGTTGGCGGGCGTTGTGTCGTCCCATCCCACTGCTGGGCTGNTCTCTGCGCTCGGTGCTAGGGTTGTCGATGCGTCGCGGGGCGCGTCACACTACTATTACATTAATCAAAACATTTTTCAACACTGCATGTAGATAACAGGAGGTATGAGTCTTATAGATGTCTAATGACTACCCATGCACAATTTTTTTGCCTATTTTACCTGTGGCCGTAGCTGCGTAGCTTACTAATTACTAAAGGAAATGGTAGCAAACTCATCATTAATTGATCTATCTAATCATCATAGATATTATGGTTACTACGTTAATCTATTGCTATTTCATTTGATCGAAATGATGTTATTAGGCGCATTTCATTAAAAAGGCTAATGTCTGAGTTAGATCCAAACCTTTCATTTGCCTAGTGACTTGACTGCTGAATTCCGTCGGTTAAATTATGTATTTGAAGCTATTTCATATTCTTTATCGATCGAATTTAGTTATTTATTAACGTCGCTTAACTTTCGTGAGGTTTATATCCCATAAGCATTGGTATGTTCCAAACTGATTGATTTGTTTCAGGGGAAAATGGAGTGAATCATGACGGTGCTTCTTTACGACTACTGCGAGCTGGAAGAGCGGGCGGCCAGGCATCTCAGAACCTGGAAAAGTACGTACATCCTTAAGTAGGTAGTAGGTACTACTACTAGCTCTTGATACTGATGGTCCTTTTTATTTGCATCAAGTTTATTAGGAAACCCGTTAAGACCTAAACAAACACAAGAGTCTGAAAAAGGAAAAGGTTTTCCTGTATTTCCCGATTTTCACTGAAAATAAGTTAATGTCATTTTTCCTAGAACTATTACTGATATAGGTTCGCCTAAAAATATCTTTTCATGATCTAAGGATCAAGATCATGCGTATTAACTACAGTGAATGAGACAATCTCTCGGGATTACCCACTAATTATATTAGCATTCTCAAGAGACTTACGTGTGTGACATATTTGAAACTGTTCAAACGCAATTAGCATCTGGCTAAGCAGCGAAATGTAAATATATCTTTTCACACGTGTAGCTGTATGATTTGTAGATTTGATAACTATTTATAATACGATAACATTGCCCGTTATGGTGATTCTAAAATGGTAGAGTTAAAGAAACTAATCCCGCCATACATTTCCCACTACTGCAACTCCTGTATAGCCAGGATATAGAGATTTCTACAAAAATGGTAGAGAAAAATGGTCCTGAAAGTTAGAAGAGTTAAGTGACTAGACGATTAGGAAGCTTGATGAATAAGTGTAAATAATCGTAGGTTCTCTTTTAAATAGAGTGAGCACACAAAATGATAAAGAAATAGGTCCTTACCGTAGGACCGTGTTTGTGGGTTTATGAGTGAATGTATACGAGGAATTGGATGATTTCCGGTATATCAATAGGTGTGATGCACTATTGATCTTCTTCTTCTTCTTGGTCGTGTCGACAACAAACCTACACAGCGTCAGCCCAAAACTCCGCCACAAGAGTGGCGTTGTCAGTAGCCTTCATAATCTTCCTGCGTGCAGTTATATATTTGGGCACGCAGGGCACGACATCGTGTGCTTCATCGACTATTGATATTGATTAGAGACAAACAGATATTTTTTTTTGCTGAAACTCTTGTTTAACATACGCTGTGTTATCAGCACTAGGTGTACGATAGTGACCTCATGCATCCTGCGAATGATAACAGAGCCGGTGCGCACTCGCATCGTTGGTTAACAATTCGTTTGTGATAAAAAACGGCCAAGTCGAATCGCAAATAATGTTATTGATTGAAAATACCTATCGACTACTGTAAACGCATTCATAGTGTAGACAGAGTTGAAATTTTATGACCTGATGACGAGTTCCAAGGCAAAACACGTAGGAATTTTTAGACTGTGTCAAGCTGATAGGATAGCCGATAGATAGAAACTACGAGTATTGTTGTCAGTCAGCCAACAGTCATTTATCAAACTTACTTTGGGACTGAATAATTGATGATTTGAGTAAATCATTTTATGCTGACTGTAAATGTACACATTATAATGTATAAATTATTGAACGCTATAAACTACTTATTTAGTAAGCTAATGAGTCTGGCCAGCTGCGATAGTTTTGTTGATAACAATCTAAGTATCATGATTGATTTCCGATTAGGTTTGTAGATACCTACATAAAACAATGAATGCCATTTTGTAAATATATATAATATTTACCTATCGTGTATGGAGTACTTCCTTATATTTTATTAGTAAGAAAAACTGCCTGACTATCTTTGCATCAGAGATTCAGGATTCATCATGGAGCTAAAAATATTGGTTCATTCTTTGGTGTGATGACGACACACTTCCGCGGAATGGGGGCAACCAGCCGAAACTTGTGAAAACATTATTTATAACCGAAGATTAAGCGATGGTTTGCGTAAACCGCGATGACTGATTTCAGCATTACGATTTAGGGCTTCATTTCCTAAAAAAAGATTTCAGTTTACAGTAATTTGAGAATAAACAAATGAAAATGTACTTTCTTACCAAAGTCATAACCGTTTTAAAGTTGCAAGACCTTGTGACTTTTGGCTTGGAATTAGATCTGACAAAGGGATACTATTGAAATTTTATAATATAGGATCTTGGTAGAATGAGACCTTACTTTGAAACTGATATTTTTACTTTGAGACCTGTAATAAAATCGTCTAGTACGACAACGTACTTAATTTAAGAATAATTTTTAATATTGTATAACATTGTTTTCAGCATGGCACATAATACTTTACGTCCTGGCTGCCATATTTGGAGCAACCAACTACATACTCCTGCATAAGACCATGGAACTAGTGAATGGCCACTGCGTATTGTACCCGAGGAAGCTAGAATTTCACGTCGTACCCCGGTCAAACTACACGGATGAAGTGGAAACCAATGTCAACTACACAATGGTTGATGAGGTGCAAAACGGTTTAGAAGAGGATGTTACCTCAACCGATGGAAAGTCGATGGAGAAAAGTGTAACAAAAAGAGAAATTCCTGATAACGAAACAATGGATAGTTTGGAAACAACAATGGATGCCATGAACGTGACTGTCGTAACCGGTAAGTTGCCATAAAGCCGCTGCTACAAGCGTTATCACCGAGTAAGCACACACTATTTGATAGAACTTCGTCGGTAAAGGAAATGACTAAATGTACACAAAATCCATTTTTTAATAACGAAACCTGAATCATTTTTATCCCAAAATACTGAAAACAACCTGAATCAAAATTATACGTCTGTATGAAATTTCAAAACCAAAATCTATGCTCTTCGATGTACTCATCTTGTATATAAAAATATGCCTCTTATTGGAACTACGCGACTAAATTAATTATTTTTTTTCCTCTAGGACATGTACGATACTTTCCTGGCAACTCTTCAGTCACCAGTTTCACTGTTAGACTATTACCGTATCAGAAAAGGACCACCAAAATTAGAAAGAAAAGAAGTTTGTTTTAATTCTTTTCGTGTGATTTCGATGTTTTTGACCTACTAAAGTATCGTTGATTGGATTTTTTTACTAACGCTTTTCCAAATTTATACTGTAACCTGCATTATCTGGCTTAAAATCATTTTCGACGAGTTTACATAAGACTAAATACAGGGTGTCCCAAAAAGTGACAAGCGATGTCCAGAGAGATTTATTGATAAATTGACGTAAAACTCGTACAGGGAATGTAACTCACCAGTTGGTGCTGGATCTGTCCCGGTCTCTGTTCGCGTTGGACAGCGACTGCCAGTTCGCGGAGTACATGCCGGTCATGTCCACCATATGCGCTGTGCTTCACAGATATCAAATAGACATTTATTAGTCTATTTCAGAAGCACCACGCTCTCTAATTTATCGGAGTGAAATATAGAGGACTTGGCCTACATTCCCCATGTTGGCCAGAAGAGTTGAGTTACTTATATGCGCATGTAGAGTATAGATCCGCTACTGTGATTCCTAAATAACTAGCAATAAGAACAAAACACTAAAAGATTTTGAACTGCTCTCATAAGCAATATCTTAAGATAATTAATATTGATTGATAAATTGATGTAAAACTCGTACAGGGAATGTAACTCACCAGTTGGTGCTGGATCTGACCCGGTCTCTGTTCGCGTTGGACAGCGACTGCCAGTTCGCGGAGTACATGCCGGTCATGTCCACTATATGCGCTGTGCTTCACAGATATCAAATAGACATTTATTAGTCTATTTCAGAAGCACCACGCTCTCTAATTTATCGGAGGGAAATATAGAGGACTTGGCCTACATTCCCCATGTTGGCCAGAAGAGTTGAGTTACTTATATGCGCATGTAGAGTATAGATCCGCTACTGTGATTCCTCAATAACTAGCAATAGGAACAAAACACTAAAAGATTTTGAACTGCTCTCATAAGCAATATCTTTGTAGATAATTAATATTTATTGATAAATTGATGTAAAACTCGTACAGGGAATGTAACTCACCAGCTGGTGCTGGATCTGACCCGGTCTCTGTTCGCGTTCGACAGCGACTGCCAGTTTGCGGAGTACATGCCGGTCATGTCCACCATCTGCGCTCTGGTCTGGGTCACGCTCTTCACCATGTGTCCTGGCGGCGGCCACGCTAGATCTGGGTAAGTAAAATGGCTCTTATCAATGATTGTATTAAGGTTTCTTTTACAACTGACTCTATTACCATCAAATTAAAATATTTTATTCAGTACATAGACCCTTTCCAGAGCACTTATACACGTCCCAAATATAGTTTTCGCGAATCACACTTAACGAAAATTTTTTTTAATCAAAAAATAGTTAACTAATTGAAAATTCTATAGAATCATTTGGTGATTATAGAATTAATCTTTGATTTCCGACAGTGGTGAACAATATTACCATTGTAACTCCCACGGCCTCTCTCTAGCACAAAAATATTCCCACATGTATTTTTTGTTGTTTGACGAATTACTAAGTAGCTGATATTATACAAGTATTCACGTGCTAACTACTTACTCATATGCTGTCAATCGTTCCTCCAACTATCTCACCAAAATTACTTGTCCCAAACTCAAAGTTTACACTAGCGACAGATAATACACCATAATTAAGTAGTTTCTCCATTATACTTTAAGCATCCATTTGAAATAACATCATCACACATGTTCCCACCGGGGTTGGACCTCAAGGCCAAGCATTGACATGGTATCCCCCCCCCCCCCTAAAAATAACCCTAGATACGCCAATGGGGAGGAGTAATTGACCTGATTTTTTTTATATTTTTAAACCAGCAGACAGTGATGACTGAGTTTGTTGCGGCGCTTCTTCTCTGCACTTGCCAAATGTTTGTCTCGAAGCGCGAGAATAAGACATGTATTAGGCTCCTTAAGAGCATTTGACGATTTGTAAGTACTAATTTAATTAGTCTAAACAAATAAAGATAATTTTGATTTGATTTGATGATTCCCAGGCTACAGCAGCCGTGGCGCATCCTGACGCCGGCGCTGCTGTTCGCGCTGGTGATGGTGGGCCTCACGGGCCACAGCTTCGCGCGTACCAACGGCGGCCTACACGCCTTCTGCGGAGCGTTCGCCAACCTCACCAACTCCACTACGTCAGTATACGTTTAGCTATGGTCTGATTGTTTCTAGACAAACGTAGGTCTAGCTATAGAAGATAAGGTCCTTTTATTCAGTATCCCCCAGATACATTGAAAAACCTTGCTCGCCGAAAACGCTCCTACATCTTGGACGAATAGTGGTTTATTGTACTAGTTCTACATTATCGAATTATTCACGCATATGAGAAGAACGAATGAAAAATAAAAATTCAATAAAAAAAATCGTTGATGTCTTTTGTATGGGGCCATTGAAAGGGTCAAATTTTTTTTTTATTTTTCTTTTCAATTTTCATGTTCAATAATTCTATGTGCATTGCCTACTTATTTATTTCAAAGAATATCTTAGTTCATAATGCAATTTAATCGGATAATAGTAGTACTAGGTACTTACCGTACCTACATTTGTATAAAAAAATACTGCTATTAATACTCGTACTGTCTATTGTGATCCGTTCTTCTTGATATGGCGATAAAAATTGCAATCCAACCTAGAACAAAACCTAGATCACATGCTAAACTTCAAGTGTAGTGATTACGTACTATATTATGGTGAAAATGAAATAACTTTTACTTGCGCAGTTGCTCATCAGTGGACCCATTTCTGAAGCTGAGCTGGTCGACCTCGTGGGGCTTCGGCGGGCGCGCGGCGGCGACGCGGGCAGCGAGCGCGGGCGCATGGGCCGCTTGGGCGTGCGCAGCGGCGCTGATGCTAGCGCGCTGTCTGGCCGCGCCGGACTTCGTCGTGCGCCGCACTGGGGCGTACCTGAAGGATCCTCAAGGAGTAAGATAGTCACATTTTTTTAAATAAATTGGCGTTAGTGGTGTGATTTACGGCGCTCTGAGTAATATTTTCTTCAAATTAATTAAATAATGCCATTTAAATTAATTGATTTGTAATCTTAAAACCAGGAGTTTCTTCAGTACAACATGGTACTACTTACTCAAAGGTGACGCCTATAAAGATTTAACAATACAACACTCAGATTAGTAGGTAGGTACCTACTTGACTTTTAAAATTCGTTAACTTAGTAGAACAGTATCGAATTAATGACGTATAGTACCTACTGAGTGTAGGTATTCATGGCTGACTAGCTGAAGCAGTATTTCCATAAAATATGTCATGCAATCTAACATATTTCTTATACTTAACTACCTACCACATTGCAATTTCCAGAAATTAACACCTCACCTGAAGAAAGGTCGCCGCTCCCGACAGTCCCAACGTAGTGCGCCCAGCTCGCCCGGTGTACGTGACAACGTCTCCGTATACTCCGAGCCAACAGCCACCACCGAACTGGCCACCGCCTCCGTTGGGCCGGGCCAGGACTCCGCCCCAACCTCGCTCATGGTCACCCCGGTCAGGAAAGGCCGAGCCCATGACAACCACGACTTAATCGAAATGACCTACGCACCTCAAGAGCGACGCGAAATACTTCAATAGCTTTTGGACTGTGCAATAATTATTCTTGCAGAGCATTTACTGTACCAAAAATCTAGCAAACATGTCATATGTATCAATAGTAAATCACGTTAATCGTGAAAGAAGATGAAAGGAGCTATAATTACATTTTTAACGCTGGGTACGTAAAATAAGACATAAAATTGAGAATTCGTCGGTTCTCTAGCTCAGATTTCAGTGTGTTAATGCAAATGCTCAATATGTTTAAAGGACAAAAATTCATAAAAGAACAAAAAAGGCTGTCAGAGCTCAAAGGACAGCAATAGGATTATTGAGCCGATGATAGCTGTTGAGAAAGAACAGTTCTTAGGCAGAGACTGCACACTGATGATCACAAGCGCGTTTGTGCGCCTGTTGTGAAATTACTCAATTATACTTACTTATGTAGCTAGATAGTATCTACTAGCTTTTCAAATAAGTTTTGTATTAATATCTTGATTGAGTCGAATTTGGTGGGAATTAATTTGAAAAAGATTTAGCTTAAGCTTAGATTAATAAAACCTAGATGGATAGTCTTCATACAAACGCTTCGTCAAGAGTGAGGCAAAAATCTTATGTCATTAGTGTCAATTTTGTTGGGGAGTGTAGACAGTGAAGGCGATTTTCCCGAAAGTAGGGAAATTTTTAATACGTTTTTAATTATTTTATAATTAACAAAAACAAAACGCATCATGTACTTACTTATTTATTGAATTCAAAGAACCTACTTAATTACAATAAGATAAATCGACTTAAAAGTCTCGATTTCATAAAAAAAGGAAGTGTATTTGTAGGGCGAACAATTGGGAAATAAATTTTCTTGTTACTGGTATCATTCCCGTATTTAATTTTTGAAAGCCAAATTCAAGCAAAATACGCGTCGAATTGTAGTACTTACTTATGAAATGTAACACTGGTCACTTTCTTTCCTTTTTCTGATGTATTTAGACACCCTTTCACAGCCCAAACCGTCTTATTTAATTAAAATTCGTCGGACGTGTTTACCAATTTTTCACTTTGACAGTTCATGTGACGTTTACGGGTAAGCCATTCTGGCTTACTAAAAGCTGCCTCACCTTTCGTGCACTGACTATCTATCTAGGTTTTATTAATCTAAGCTTAAAGCTTAAGTATATTAATCATGCATCGTTGATGATCATTATTTTTAAGTATTGTTTTAGCATGTTTAGTGCGCATTAAATGTCTTTTCTAACTTATAAGAGTTTTATTATGCCAGAATCCACTGAATTTACGAAAGGTTAACATACGATTCATTCGCACTGGATTAGAGTGGAGTCCATTTTCAATACCTAAGTTACAGTATTGAACAATAATTATGATGACGTTATACTTAATGCGGCACACTTTATTTACCTTTGGTGTAAATAAACTCATGTACAGTCACGGAATGAAAAGGTTCGTCAGTTTTCAAATTGATTCCTTCAACGAATCGCGAGCACATAATATTACCTTTTGAAACTATGTTACAGAATAATCTCGAGTTAGAGAAAATAATCTTTAACTGTTCGTCAGTAAAGTTCAAAATTATTCAGATCAAAATTGTTTGACTATTTATCTTGTCAAGAAGATTATGATTGATAAACTAAAACCTTCTTGTTGGTTCAACCTGCCATTATTATTTCTATTAAATAAAAAAAACTATTGTCAATTGGTCAATGTCATCATTGCATTGCACTGATGGGATAGAAAAATAAACAAGCAAAACCTTATTTGTTAGCAAACGTCATATTTATTTAAATGTTAGCAGCACTGTTTCTTGCACTGTTATGTTGGCAGGTTTGACTCTTACAATACCTATAGTCTATCCAATATAGCTAGAGATGGGTAGTGGGTAAAAACCCATTTCACCCGATTGGGTTTAAACTGGGTGATTTGGGTAAAAACCCGGTTTTTACCCATTATCACCCATTCTGGTGGGTGAAAACAAAAATAGCGTTTTTTTAAAGTGAGAAGTGGTATTTGTTGCTAAGGGGGCGTTCTAGTGTTATGTAATGCAATCTGGGGGGTGAGGAGGTCTTGAAAAACGTTACAATGCGTTACAGTGGCGGAAGGGCGGTTCGATTTCAAGTTTTTAAGCAGAAGTACTTTGTAGTTGGTGTTGTTATTTGTAACTTTATACCGTAATGTCATCAAAGAGAGAGTTTGGCATCTTTGGCATCCCCCCCCCCTCCCCCCCTCCATGTCCTTGCCATGATCACAAATTATTGTGTTACTACTAAATTTCTTCTAAATCGGTTCAACGATTCTTGAAATAACACCATTTTATAAAATAATTGGTCACATCATCATAACGTGATCAATTTTACGATTTGGCCACGATATAAATGCATATTAGTGTTAAATTTGATTTATTACTTATTAATCAATAAACTTAAATGAGAAAAATTCAATAAAAATAAAGAAAAGATACCAATTGAAATAATTATAAAATTATTTGTTTTCACCCGGTGTAAACACCCACGGGTGGAATGAAACGGGTTTTTATTGGGTTTTTACCCTCATGTGGGTTTTTACCCGGGTGGAAACCCATCTCTAAATATAGCTTGATTAGAATGACGGCTGTCAAACGAATGTGACTAGTGATGGGTATGTTTCATACGGTTCACATAGATGTATCGATAAGTTTTCGAAAAAATGATATAAAAAAATGCACCCAATTTTTCTTCATATCTTTATTCATAAAAATGACAATTATGATTTAAATTTAAAGACAGTAAAATTTAAAATTCATGTCAAGGGTGTACAACCTAAGTCGTAGTCATTAGGGGGCGTCCATAAATTACGTGAGACTTTTAGGGGGGGGAGGGGGTCCACGAAAACCTCACTTAATCTCACGTGGGGGAGAGGGGGGGTCTCGGAAAATATCACGTGATTTTTCCCGCAAGAAATAGAGTAAAATTGCCAGAAAACTGGGTTATTGAAGTAAAAAGAAAAATGATTTTTTAATGATGATAATGACAATTTATTCTAAACCGTCTTATCAAATTAAACTAAAAATGCCTCATGCATTTGTGAACTCTATAGATGCAGAAATGTCGAAATTAAGAAAATTCGAAATTAAAAAAAAAACGTTATCGGCATCGCTATTGCGTAAAAAATTGGCCAAGTGCGTGTCGTGCCACGCGCAGTGTAGGGTTCCGTAGTTGTCTGTCGTTACCACAATATATTTCAGAAGCAAGCAATTACATCATCTAAAGTCAATTTTCATATTTTCTTGTAAGGAATTTTTACTGGTTAAGAAATTGTATAATACATGAGTCAAATGTCAAAATTTAAAAAATGTCTTTATGAATGGTTAGTTGATAAATGTTTTTATACTGTCAAAGAATTTCTGAGTGATTGATTTGTGTACCTATAATGACTTCAATTTTTTAATTAATTTATTATTGTTATTAATATTATGTAGATTCTAATTTTGTAAAATTTGCAATTAATATTATGTAGATTCTAATTTTGTAAAATTTGCATGCCTACCCTGGACAAAACATGTTGGACTTGACATTTTCTATCGACCATTTTGTTACCATGTTTCTGAGCAAATAAATGATTTATTATTATTTTATTATTATTATAATGACTATTACTCTTAAACTAAGTAATGTATCTTAACCGTTAGTTTTCCTTGAAAAAAATCATCCCCACTTTACATGCAGGGGAGCTTTTTTTACCATTTTGTCGGCGTTATTAATATACCTTCACAAAACAGCTCCCCAGTGCCAATAGTTTTCAAGCGAAACCTCGGACAGATGGACAGACATATCGAATCTATAAGGGTTCCTTGTCAGGACTACGGAACCCTAAAAAATGATATTACATACGTATGAAAATATTATGAATTCGTAGTTAAAGTAACCAATAGTCAAATTTGACAATGTCAAATGACAAGTGGTTAAATAACAGAAGAAAAAAAAATTATAACAATGTTTAACTTGACTTTTAGTACATTTTTTAACTATTAGTTTACATTTTATTAACCGCTTGAGTCCCAGACGGCATTAATGGATGTCATAACAATTGATTATCTATTGTGTCTAGATTCGCGGGCCTTGAAGGATTAATATTTAACCATTATAGCAAAATTTAACAATTAGTTATTTTAACTATGAATCAAAAAACTGGTCCTAGGTTGAAGCAATTGCTTGTCTTACTAAACGACGGGAAGCTACGGAACCCTGCACTGCGCGTGGCACGACACTGGGTTACTGATTTTTTCATATAAATCTAATAGACTCGAGGCATAGACATTGCAAAATAGGCATTTTATTAAATATCACGTGAGATTAGGGGGGTGGGGGAGGGGCTCAGGCAAAATCTCACCAAATCTCACCAAGGGGGGCGGGGGGGTTGAAAAATGGCCAAAATTGTCTCACGTAATTTATGGACGCCCCCTTATCATCAATGTTCTTCAGTGGTTTTTTCCTCTCGCTAGANCTGGGCTGCGACTCGAGACCTGTCTCGAGTGGGACTGAAGCGAGTTCAACTCACGTCGACGTTGGAAGACAGCATGAACCGCTTGGTGGCTTGCGTCTGCCCCGGCGCGTCCTGTACATTGTTGGCGGGCGTTGTGTCGTCCCATCCCACTGNTGAGCTCGCAGGCGCGGTCCAGCAAGCGCGGGTCGGCGCGGAGGCGGTCGCGCTCGCGGTTGTACACGGCGTCGCCGGCGGCGATAAGCGCCGACACGATAAACAAAGCGCGCAGAGCCATGGCGCGCGTAGCGCGCCATGGCTCTACTCTTCTCGTGCTACTCTTCGCGCGCCTCTCACTGCACTGGGCACGAAGCCGTCTCAATCGCGCACTCTCGCGCTGGCTCCCGCCCCTCGTCCCTGGCCCCCGTGCCCTACATAGGCAGGTCCGAACTCAGACGCGATTTAAATTACTCAGCGCCCAACCCAACCACTATAATATTCACATGATATCATGTAAGTTGATGAGAAACAACTTTCAACATTGTGTTTAATACAAATAAGATTTTATTGTTTTATAAATAAACTCACCCGAAGTAAATTTAAATAGTAATTAAGTACTGTAGTTGTATTATTCCTTAACTGAGCTTTGAACAACATTTTGAATGTAGACTTTTGTAAAAGGGTATTTCTCATCGCCACGGTTCTCACCGTCACCTTCGTGGCAAATTTTATTTTTAACTTATTTCAACTTTTTGTAAACAAAAATTGTAGCGCTTGATGTGAAGAGTGTATTCTCAGTA